AACACTGTAACTCACCCAGAGTCTATCATAGGTTTATGTATGCAGATGTTGTCTGCCTAGCTAAGAAGGCATCAGAAACAGGCATCACAAAAGCAGTGATTACGAGGCAGTCTTGTAGCATTAGCCTCCATTCTGCTTCTACCTGTTTCCACAGTAGAATCTGAACATTTTACTGTGAAGTGCGCTTTGGACTGAATTTCACCAACTTTACTGTCAAGCTTTTTTGTCTTTAACACTTGTGTGTTCCCATTAGAGATTTGTGTTAATATATTTGACTTTCCTTTGGTTGTATTGTTAATTGACATTATATGACAGTGCATCTCAGGCCGTGTTGCAATTACCTCAAAAATAACGTAACAAATTACCTTCTACAGGGAGTAAATAAGTAATTTAACACAATACTTACAAAAAAGCGAGGATTTTGTGTAATACATTATTAGTAAAAACACTGATGCTGTTTCTAAGTGAGTTATTTCATCCAGTCCTACACATGATTGTAGGTTTACCAACCCACCAGTTCCCACTTTCACTCATGCTGTCACTTATATACTGTATACTAGTATACTATAAACCAGCATTTATTAACCTGGAAAGTAGACCATAGAGTTAGTCGAATGATCTTGGAAAGAAAAGTGTCTGGACTTCTTTAAGAGCTACCCAATTGTGGATATATAAATGATGATCATAAAACTGACCAAAAATACATATCTGGTCACGGTAAGGGTTTGAACCTCTTCGTTGGGAGTTTTTGCACGTCTGCAGTTTTTTTTTAGCTAACACTTCCTTTGTCATATTGTTGTATTTGTACAAATTCTGTCAACGCAGGCTCTGTAAGTCACTAATAACGTCTAAATGTACAACAATTAAATGCATTAATATTGCCAAATGTACAGAACAATCAGAGGCTGCAACACTGTAGCTATTCTAAGCACTTGGGTACCGCACAGCATTGTCATGTAATATTGAGTACCGTTGCGACCTCTTGTCCTGTCAGGTTCCATCTACCTCTGTCATAAGCACATAGGGAAGCTTATGTAGCTATGAAAGTTCCCTGCTTTAGAGACAAAACAACACAACAACAAAAATAATCAAATTTAAAAAACACACACATGGAGAAACAGTTGAAAATATTTTACACAGATCACACTAAGAGTTCTAAAAGAACTGGAAGATAAGGTTGGACCAACCTGAAGCAGAATAGAGATAAGTTAAAATACAGCTCTAGCCTTCTGCTGTCTTCCTCTTATGGGATTTGTGACACTTACGGATCCCAGAAAATGCACAAGAGTGGCAGGCTTGACGAGATGAGGGGTTAATGATTTAACAGCCAAGTTAACACAGCAAGGCAATACGAAAACTCCAGAATGCAAAAAGGACCAGCCCTTTGTAACTTGCTCAAATATGACCTGTTTTTGACTATACAACCCTGAAGTATCATTATCATAAGTTATATTTTTATCTAAGATGAGAATTCGAGTGTAGTTCGTTTCACTCTGGAAATGCACTGCCCTCCAATTTTCAGAGTTGTGACAGTAAAACAGTGGTTTCTCAATTAAAAACCAGTTACTTCAGTGCCATAGAAAGGCCATCAATGAGCCAATCACTGCTGTGTGTTAGATTTACACTGTCAAGCTGTGCAGCCGGATAAGGGTTATTTAAAGTGGCCAGTGCTTGCTTGTTTTTGACACACCTAAGACATGTTTACCCATCAGTAAAGGGAGGACCATGCTTAACCTTAACACATAATAGCTGCATGGACACTGATGCAACATTATGCAATGAAATGTTATACAGTCCTATGAAAAACAAAGCACACTCTTAAGGCTTCAATAGAAATTAAGTAGGTAAGTAGCAGCCAGGTGCTGCTAATCACTTGATTGTGTGAGCACCTCCATAAAGCAGACGTTTCGTCAATTTGCTGGTCTAGAACTCCAAAGAACAACTAAGAGCTACAGATATAAGCTTCTCTGTAGAAGATTTTAAAGGCAATTCAATTCCAGACTAAAACAAAGTGGACAGTTTAGTGTAATATAAAACTAGTGATGTCTTTGATGTAACACCAAAGTGAGAAAGCCAAATCATAAAAGCTATAACTGAAATTCTCAGGATTAAAAATAGTCCACTGTAGTAGTAATTTGCTAGTTAGGCTGAAAGTCTCTCTGAAAGCCCCCTAAATGAATTTGTAGGAAAGCAGAGCTTACTGCTAATCAAGTCTAAATAAACAAAATGGTGTGACAGTGCCTCAACAGGGAGTCAATTCTGCTAGGAATTCTAACATAAGAAGTCTTCCTGCCATGCCACTCATTTAATTTGTGTAGAAAGTAAAATTAATTCTTAATTCTATTGAATGAGCAAGCTTTTTATAGTGCCCATTAGAGATTTCGCAGCTACTGCCACTTTGATGTAGAGGTTCGTGAGACTAAAATAGTTGTCTGTTAGCATATGTCTGTTAGGCTTTAATTAAATTTGTGGGCAAAACATTTATAGCCTCTACAGCAAAAACAATAACTTGGCCTCTCTTTATACCTGTTTGTGTCTCTAGTTTAAGATCATTAGATTAAGTTGGAATCCCAGAGTCTGTGCTTGAAGCACCCCTGTAAATGGGTTAATGTAACCTAAAATTAATTACTGCGCATTAGGGTTACAAAGTGTCTGTGTCAGAAGTAAGTGGGTATATTCACAAGTCATTCACATTATACGTCACACAAATCCTATGTTATATAAACCATATCAATAACCAGTGGGACTTGATTTCTATTTTCAGCCTGATTAAGATGGATTTTGGTATGACGGTAGATTTTGGGAAGAGCCTTCATCCCACATAAAAAGAGGAATCATCAGTTTTTTCTGGGCTTAACAATACTTAAGGCTCCCAAACTAGGAGATAGTTGAGAACTGCATCAAGTTTCTAGTAACCAAAATTGAGCCACACAGCAAGAAGGTCCTGGATTTGAATACACCATCTGGCGCTTCTTGTGGAGTTTGCATGTTCTCTCTGCTACTTTGCATAGTTTCTCTCTGGGTACTCTGCCTTCCACCCACAGTCCAAAGACATGCAGTTTGTAGAGCTACATTAATTAGTGATTCTAAATTGCCCATAGGTATGAATGTGAGTGTGAATGGTTGTCTTTCTCTCTGTTTTAGACCTACGACAGACTGGCGTCATACCCGTTGTGTATTCTGGATGGATCTCAGAAAATGCTGTATTCAACTAAAAGACACTGTCAACACTTAGTTTTTCCTCTTCTCAGAGTGGATTGTAAAATCCTCTGTGGTGGCCTTTGTTTTTTAATTACTGAGAAATCCAGCACAAACCTGTAACTTACAGAACAGTTTGTTGATTTTATCATTATTGTCTCATTATCATTATTCTTTTCTGTTCTAGTCTCTTTTCTGTACACTTTTCTGCAAATTAAAAGAAAAAACAGATTTAGGTATATCCAAGAATCTCTTTCCACACCAATAAGTCATTTGACAGGACTGAAAGGCCTTGCATCTCTCCCTCTTACTCCACTCATCACAGCTGGCCTGAAGTGTCCCGAATCATGGTGGGTCATGGCTCCAGGCCCACTGTGCAGGCTAAAACATTTGAATTTACTTGTTTGTGATTGCATAGAGGTAGCTTCACTGATACATAACGTCTCTATGGAAAATGTTCTGCTTTATTTAAGCCACCTTGAGGATTCTATTATTGGGACAGTTGGTCCTTTGGTGAAATTCCACTTTACGAGATTAATTACTCTAAGTCTGAGGCAACGCCCTCGACCTAATGTATCCCGGACTTCAACCTGCTCTGATCCATTTAGCTAGTCCCTGTCACTTTTTACTTCACCAGGTATACAAATTACCCTCTCCTTCTTTGACCTGCACAAAGCTAATTTCATGCTGCTAAACCACAAGATTAGGAAAGACCTTGTTTACTGGACAGAGTTGGTGAACCTCTTTAAGAGTGAACCTCTTTGAGATGAACATGCCTCTGTGGTTTTGTACCCCTTTGAAATAATTTTAACTGAAAGCAAATATCTTCTTTCTTCATTAATATGCAGATTGTCATTACCATTGATCAACAACCACTGATCAAAGACCATTGATCAATGGCCATGAGTAACATTCACAGATAGTTGGGTAATGACTGCAATCACAGCATTGCAAGATGGAGAAAGATGTACCCTTAGCCCCCCTCCTTGATTTAGAGATGGTCTTTCCCTTTTCACATAAATGACCTCCTCGAATCCCCGCTCAAGGCATTCCTCCCTATCCAGGATGTGTACATCCTCATCACTGAAATAGTGTCCACTGGCTTGTAGGTGTGACAAGACTGCTGATTCAATAAATTCAATAAAGTAAAACACACCAGACAGTACTTAAACCTTTTGAACATCACGTTTGGAATCTGTTTCTCTCTTTGTGTGTGTGTGTGTGTGTGTGTGTGTGTGTGTGTGTGTGTGTGTGTGTGTGTGTGTGCGCAACACTTCCACTTTTCGTAACTAGTTTATTCAAGAAGGTAAAGTGACTCCAGACATCCTGAACTGTGTAAATGATGTATTTCTGTTATCAGTAACACGCGCTGATTTGTAATTTTATTTTATTTTTTTGACATATCATAGAATATTTGAACATTTTTACATTATTATTATTGTTATTATTATTATGCGTGTTTGGTAATTGGTAAGCTACGTGTAACGAAGCCCTGTCGAAAATATTTGGCTCGTTAGTGTACCTTGTGCAAGGGAAAACAGACGTGTGACAGCGCAAACACAGTCTCTTTCCCTCCCTCTGTTCTCATCCTCGGTACCAGTTGTTTTCAACAAGCTTGTGCAGTCACGGCGTTCACAGCTGCTCTCTCCCCGTTTGCGATTTACAAGCGGATTCTTACCTCTTTCTCAGTATTTTAAGAGTGGGGAATTTTGCATTCCCTCGTAAGACCAATCATGCCACACAATTCATAAACTTTTAAAATCGGAGTTGCTGTCTGGATGTACGCCATGCGCCTGCAACCTGCGCGGGCTGGCTGGGACTTTTCTGATCGGATGCTGTGCTGAGAAATGCAGTTGGCGCCATTGTTCCCATGGCTTATTATCCTTTCCAAATTCGCGGACCAGGTGCCTTGTCCTTGTCAGCCTTCCTTACCAGCGCACAGCCTTCTTTTCCCGCCGCGCCGACTTTTCCGGACGCCGCGTCCTTCTCCAAGTCTCTGTCAGAGCAAGCACCCCCTGACGCGGGGCTGCACGCAGGTCTGGGGTGCCAAAATGAGGCCGTTCAGCAACGTTCCTTGAAGAGACTTGAGCCAGAAGAATGGTTGGACGAGGACCCGAAAGTTACGCTGGAATCAAAGAACTTGTGGAGTGAATTTCACAAAATAGGAACTGAAATGGTTATCACAAAATCAGGAAGGCAAGTGCAATGCGCATTTAAGTAGTCTACTGAGAATTTGTGTAGTGTCTTTGTCGTTTCAAATTTGTAAATAGCCTGTAAAAGCGCGCACAAATGCTATGTTCACGCTTTAACGGGGAAAAACAGCGAATAATCTAGTTTTGCTGATGATCGGAAGTTTAAAAAATGCCACAAGGGGGGGGGGGGCCTCCATAGACAAATAGAAGCTCTATGAGAAAAAAGTGATGAAAAACAAAAATAACACTGTTAATTATGACATATACAACAATTTCTTTTTTTCTTCATTAACTATCAGGAGGATGTTTCCCCCTTTCAAAGTGCAAGTAGAAGGGCTGAATGATACAGCCAAGTACATCTTGCTGATGGACATTGTCGCTGTCGACGACTGTCGCTACAAGTTTCACAACTCCCGCTGGATGATGGCTGGAAAAGCTGACCCAGAGATGCCAAAGCGCATGTACATCCACCCGGACAGTCCGTCTAAAGGAGAACAATGGATGAGCAAGCCTGTTGCCTTTCATAAACTCAAACTCACCAATAACATGTCCGATAACCATGGGTTTGTAAGTAACACTCACTGAAAAGTTGCTTTTGTTCCTCATTACGCATGGTTATGCTGGGTGACTGGGTGCACTGCTTTAAAGCTTTTATTATGGTTGTAGTTGTAGTAATTAATTACCCAAATACCAGTAATTCCAACTCTATTTTTCTAATTTGCAGACAATTTTGAATTCCATGCACAAGTACCAACCCAGATTTCATATTGTGAAGGCGAATGACATAATGAAGCTTCCTTATAGCACCTTCCGGACTTATGTTTTCCCAGAGACAGAATTCATCGCTGTCACTGCTTATCAAAATGAAAAGGTAACATCATCCTTTAGCCCCTCATACACAAATGACAAATATCCACATGGATTATACAGTGTGTACTACTGTTGTGCCTGTTTGTCACTGCACAATGAACTTTGGATTGATTAATCTGCAGATCTTTCCTTCTTTTCCATCAAGATTACACAACTAAAAATTGACAACAATCCCTTTGCCAAAGGATTCAGAGATACAGGAAATGGGAGACGTGAAAAGAGGTATACATTTTGAAAACAGAATACATCTTTAGGCCATATGTGCATGGTCTCATGCAATCTCGATTTGTGATCCCCAGAAATAAACAGTTAAACATTTCTTCACTGAATGGAAACCAAAGCAAAGCAGACCAGGACTTTGCTGATTCTGATGATTCCTATGAGCAGCCCAGTACCAGTGAGCCTTTTTATTCCCCACAACTAATAAGCAGCCCTCTGATGCCCACATCAACTTGTCAAGGTGGGTTCATTTAGAGTTCATTATGTTATTAGGCAGCCACTGTTGACCTGTGTTCATGAAGTGATAATCTAACTTAAGATCTACTGCATAGTCACTACACTGAAACAGCTTGCATATATTTTTTTTTGTTTTTAGTACGTGTTTTCCTTTTAATGACATATTCTCAAGCCAATAATTGCTGTTTGTAGTTTGGGGATCTGCTTTTGTTTTTACTTTAAAAAAATATTTATTTGATGCAAAATTAACAAAGCATTTTAAACTGTGTTTCAAAAGAACATGGGTTAATAATATGATGGCTCATTCAATTTGACTGCAAAGTATTCCATGACACACTGTCTGACAGTGTTTTCTTCATGGTTAAAAATGTTTCAAGTGTTTGTTTTTTTCCTTACAGACGAGACCAACGTTGTCAGTGATTCAGACGTTGATCCACTAGATGACTGCAACGCTGAAGGCAGCTGCTCCAGGAGAGAACACACATTGGGTTTAAGTCTGAGAAGTGAAGAGATACTGTGGAACAAGTGTGATCTCAGAAAGAACAAACAAGATGCAACAAAAGCAAGAACATCAAGCAGCGCCTCACGTGATAGACATTCTATAGGTACGGGTTTAGAAGAGCAAATGAGTGAAATCAAAGATGGGGTCGTGCCTATGATGTTACAGTCATGGAGCGCATCATCCTTCAGTGCTGGTCAGCAACCCACTTTGGATTTCTCAAGTGCACACAGCCAATTCTCTAGTAGGCTTGGGACACCTTTGTCATTTCAATCTGGACAGCTATCAATGAAGCCAGAGGTTTTTTCCAATATGGCTATGGAGAATATGTTTCCCACTTCATCTGGTATAAATGAATTAAGAAATGGAAGCCTGTTTTCTGAAAGCATCACCTCTTCAGCTCCGTTCAAACGTCAACTGTCACAGCAAATGCTAGCATCTCAGGTACGCTTCCCCAGGTTCACTATATTAAGTTATTGAATATATTTTCATCCATTCATTTAATTGTAAGTGCTGTATACAGCAGTAACAGTTACTTAACTTCAGTAGCATCTTTAAAGTCTTTGAGCACTAACAAAGGACTTCACACTGGGCAGCTGCAGAATTTTTACAGTTAAAGAAACTCTCAGCGAGTAAAGCTGAAATACGTTATATGTTTCGTGCCAATATGTTTCATAGCAAGCTCTGTTTGTAATTTGGAGAACATACTTTTAGATCTTACTTCATGTTTCGTCCTACTGTTTGTGCAATCCTACAAGCCTTCATGTTATAATTAAAAAAAAACCAAAGGTTCTTTGTAAACCGATTTTCCACTAAAAAACAGAAAAACCTTTGATCACTATTTGGTGTATTATGTGTGGAAACAAAATATAAAAGCATTAAATGAATATATACAATATGAAAAACAATGAATGTCTAGTTTTTCATTAAACAACTACTGAATAAAGTAAAACAATAGTTGGAATGTATTACTTGAGTAGTTGTACTTCATTATAAGCCTTTGTGAATTCTTTATGAATGGCTTAGAGATCTTTATAGTGTGCAGGTCATTTTCAGTGTAAAGTAAAGCATAGGTGTCAATCCTCTTGTTGTTTAATGGGACTGGATTGATTACCTTTACTGACTTCCTTTCCTAATGCCTTGGATTTCCTCCATAATATGAGTTAAAGACAAAACAAATCGGATGTATTCAGTTGCTGGTTAATAAAGTTTAATTTTACAGAGCTGTTTATATAAAGGAAGATGACATGATCTGTACTACAAATCTTAACAACTCTACTTTTTAATGCAGGGGATTTCACCATCACCCTATGGAGGACTTTTCTCATATCCATACCGCTACATGGCAGCACCAGGTTCAGTCACACCAGCCCTTTCATTCTGCACTGCAGCCTCGTCGCACTCCAGAAGCCAACGTTACAGCAACTCTCGACCATGGGTGCGATTCAGCCCTTATCAGATTCCCACATCGATCACCTCAAGCCAAAATCTGCTAACATCCAGACTGCCTGGTAGATCATATTTACAATCTGAGCGAGAGTCAACTCTGGTGTTTGACAATAACAGCTATCTAGTCATAAGACCTAATAAACCAAATCCTCCATAATAGACTATTCTACAAGTGAAGTCACATATGACAATCATTTAAAATGTTTTGGCAGAAAGTCTATATTTTTGCTTCTCATTAAATTGATCATATTATCATAAATTTAATAAAGACAGACTTGGTGGTCCAATGACAGTCAGTATATTATACTAGACTTGGATATGCATGTTTAATTTAATGATTCAAATAAATATTGTACTAGATTCTACTAAAAGCTACTCAATGGAATTCCAGAACATGTGCTATGCAAAAGTCGGTGCCCGGGGTGAAATTCTTTAGAGGATGATATGATGTAATGTGCTTTAAACATAACTAAAAACACATTTTTACTGCTTTATTCTATGTAAATGTGTAAATAGTTTTTCTCTTGCATTTTTTTTCACAAGAAAGTGACTAAATGAAGCCTTTTTTCAGAATGTTTTATATTTGTTTCACACTTTCACATTCTGATATACCAAAAATGTGCAGTGAGCTTGGAAAAACTCAGGACTTTTTGTTTATCTTCTTTTAAACCAGCACTTGAGAAATCTCCAGGAGATGTGATGTTGTGTATGGAATTATGCAAGTATATTGTGTGTTGTGTGTGTGTTTTCACAATTTACATAAAGATGTTCTAATCTGTAATATTTGACTGAATTATTTAACGTTAATTTTGCTTATTTTGTTTGTTCTTTTTTTGGGCGGGGTCATCTTTTGGTGAGTTGTTGTGCATTGCAACCCTACATTTCGTAAAAATAAACCAACAACAAACAAAAAAAACCAAACTTTTGGATGTGGCGCTGTCTATCACTGTTTTTAAATGCCAGGATATTTAATATTGATTTAAGAAGGGATTTTTCCCTTATTTTTTTCTCTAATGGTGATCAGTTTTATTTATGTAGTTACTTTATTTTTTAAAAAAAGCTTTACATTTTATTTCTCTACTTCTGTTTTCTATTTCAGAAAAGGTCAGCCTATGTGGCTGCTCCTTATGACCCATCTTTGTACTGATTTCTAGGCAACTGTGGCTTTGGTTGCCCTTTAGACCTTATAGAACATTTTTGTCATCTTCTATTTTAAGTCACAGTCAAATGCATTAGAAGAAAAGGGGAGCTCTTGAACTTATGATCTTAATTCTAAACAAATTCTTGTGGCAACACATCTTGGCACTTTTGCTCCCCTCATCCAACACCCACACCTTTCCAGGAACAAACACTGGCAAGACAAGAGACAGATTTTAAATTGGACCGTTAGCTGCAGTGCCCTCATTTTACTGCCTGCATATTTTACATCTGTCCGCACACAGCATTACAATAGTCATAAAGCTATGGCATATGTTAGCTCAACCGTGTGAAAAAAAATTTAGCTGGACAGTGACACTATTTGTAAAGTGACAGTGGTTCACATAAAGTTGAACCACTGTCACTTGGTGACAGTAAAGTTGGCGTTTAATGACAGGGACAAATTTGAAGACACTAAATCATACTGGGAGAGTGTAAAAAAGGTCATATCAGTGTAGGACACACCCATTTGCATGTATACAAACAAATGTAGATAGCTGACTGTGTATTCAAACAAGATGATTCACACTGTTTTTACTTTGAGGTTTGCTGGGGCACACTGACAAATGGCAAAATAAATGTTGTCACTAGTTGTCTTGAGACTTAAAAAATGAATACTTAAGTCTTCTTAATACATTTGTGTGTTAGTGAATGTTTAGAGCTTCTTTGTCTTCTGCAAACCCAAGTTATTAAAGCATAGAAAGAAAAAAGAAAGTTTTTTTTAAATCCTAAATCTCTTTTGTGATTGCGATAGTGTCAATATTTATTCCTGTCACTTGCATGTTTAGTATTACACTAATTAATTCTACTAATACTTAAAATAATAATTTTGGTTGTGTTAAAATAGACCAACAGTGCACTGAAATATCAAGTTTCTGCAGGCATGTGCTAACCTACTCTGAACACTGGGAGGGAAGCATCTATTTCACACTTCACAGTGTGCAGAATATTAGTTAAAAGACTGTTAACTTGCAAATACTTCAGTTTTTCAACATCACTGTGTCAAGAGAAGGCAATGCAGGCTCTATGATTGGATTTTTAAATCAATCCTTATCATCACTATGAGCTAAGATAAAAATGTTAACACAGATGGCTTAAATAGATGAGATCGCCTTGATGCAGTCATTCACTTAACATGGAAACAATTTAAAAGCTTTTGTTAATGTAAATTAAGCTTTTGGCATGTATCTTTATGTTAAAGTCAAGAAATAGAAAGACAAAGTTGCTCCTGCTGAAATCCCATAAATTCAGAACCACTTTGAGTGGTTCTGCACATTAAGGCCTCTGAAGCCACCTAGTGGATCTAAGGTGCAATAATAATATATTTACACCTTTGATGTAAACTGGTAATCGAGGGTATTTCACTAAGGTTAACTGTCATAGTTTATCACAGGTATCCTGTTTTATTTTAACAACTGGGTTAAAGTGGTGTAGGCTCTAACTAAAAGATGTACATTTAATGAACCAAATCATGTTTTGAATGAGCTGGTATTTAATTCAACACTGGTATATTGTAATTTGATTTCATTCTCTTTCAGTCTTTTAGGGCTTAGCTTTAGGACTCTTAGCCTGACGACCTGCATTTACACTTTCATATCATCAGAAACCTCAGCAAGCTGTTACTGTCTACACATGAATAGACAAAGTTTTAAGCGTTTTTACATGGCTATCCATTTGTCCTACACGCACACGAGTACGATAAAAAAAAAAAATCAATGTTTAATTCGTCACATTAAGTATGAACATTACTTTGAATAACTGTCTTTGTAAAACAGTTTCACAGAGAGAATATATGAATTCAAGTCTCTTTATTTAAATACGATCAATCCTAATTGCTTCTCGTTTGTGATTAGAAGTGGGATTTCGCCGGAACCAGTTTGAATGCAGACAGGCCAGTTTCTCAGCTTTCAAACGACACAGCTAACGTGAGCCAAACGGGATATGAAATAAGTCTTCCGTTGACTACATCGTCTGCAGTCTATATACTCCACTTGCCTGCACTGAAGTGATGAATAAACATCTTTAATATACTGCACACTGGATGCATTTTTTTCTTAATTTTTGACAGGGGCGATTCTAGGATCAGAGCTTTGGGGGTGCTGAGCACCCAGAGAGCTGCCCAGCCAGGCAAGATAAACCTGTCTCTGTCAGTCCCTGCATCCTTAAATGTTGTCCCGAGTTCTCTCTGACTGTCACTTTGGTGCATTTAAACCCCTGTTCCTCCCTGTCCTCATCGTCTGTTGTCTTAGTCTCCGTTATCAGTCATCATAATTTTACCATCTCTGTGCAAGTCTGCAAATCTCTTTATTAAATCATAAGATTCTTAAATTAATCAAGTCTCTCTGTGCCTGGGTCCTCGTCACAAAACATGACATCACTGTTTTGTACATTTTAACACAATTTAATCCCCACATTTGTGAAAGAAAAGCAAAACACTTTTTTGAAAAGTCTGTAACAAAACCATCAAATCTGATCAAGGTTATGTAAATGCTGCAAAAGAAGAATGGATTGGAATAAAAAAAATACATATCCTAACCTTAATTACTGGGGAAGAATAATGAATGATGCTCATAGTGAGTAAGAAGTAAACTGAGTGCATTTTTTGGACAGAGATTCACTTTTAATGTGTTTGTATAATATAATACAGATACATAAAAACACTCCCAAAACAGAATAAATTATTACAAATAAATTATTACAAAATATAAAAAAAAAGAATATAAAAATGGAGGCAACTTTGCCTGTGGTAGAATGTATACAATGTATGAAAAAATCTTTACTGCAGATACTAATTTTGTGTTGTAAGATTTATGAGTTTCATGCTTTCATAGTGGCACTTAGGAGAGCTTGACATTTTTCTCAGGTGGTACACACTGTAAAAAGTTTGAGAAACACTGATAAGTGTGTGTGTGCTTTTGGAAAACATTTAAAGCTGCAGTACAGAATCTTTGAAACAAGCTTAAAACATTTTTAGAATATAAACAGAGCATCTGCTTCTCTTTACAGCTCCTCACTCCACCAGGGCACCGTTTGGCACTTTCTGATAGTGTGCAAATGTGATGTACGTACTGCGGCAGTCATACAGACAACTGGACGGTCCAAAAGTTGGCCTACCTATTACTGGCTGAGGTTTTAGTAGAGTTGTGGCTGAACCACATAAAAATATATTATTAATTTTAATCTCCCCAATCCATTATAATGTTATGTTGGAATGTTGTTAAAGAGGGTCAAAAATGTTTCAACCCAGTTTGTTTTGCAGATTCTTTATAGCAGCTTTAATATAGGGAGAACACAACTTCCAGATTGTGTGAGTAAAATCAGGTTTTTTCTCTTTGTCAGTTTAACAGTTTGTGTTGTGCCTGTCACTGTTCCCTGTCTGTTTTCTTACCTGGTTCTTCCTGACCTTGTACTTTCTCTTCACGTTCCCTCTTTCCGCTCTCCCTCTTTGGACTGACAATCATACACAAATAGATTGTATTCAATTAGATGAAAAATTACATTAATATGAAAAAAATTCTATTAAGATCGCTAACAACAAGTCCTCTCTCAGTGTACTTTCAACCAAAAGGCAAATAACCAAACCACATGAACAACCAATAAAAGATATAAACATTGAAACACTGATCCAATATTATTCTTGATTGATGGATAATTTGATTTTACACTTTTACCTGAATGTGGCTCCTTTTTTTGAAAAAACTTCCTTATATCCATTATGAACCTGACTGTCTCGCTGTACACACACACACACACACACACACACACACACACACACACACACACACACACAACAGGAGTTATAAGGCTAATGGGCATCCAGTCAGTTAGCTAGTTAGTATCCATTTCAAGCAGGACAGTGGTAACAACAGCAGGCTACGGACAATTTAAAGTTTTAGATTTTAAATAGGCTGTATATATTTCAATGGGAGCAACAGGACGGTCAGATGTCGCTGATTTTACTACAGAGCAGGACGGATTGTAGAGTAGCAAACATTGCCAGAAAACACGTTTTCAACACAGCAGGTTACCTGGTGTAATATTTTTCAGCTAAAAAGAAACATGGTCTGACTCCTACCTAACTATATAAAGAGTAACTGAAGGTTAAATGCAGCTAATATGTCCTGTTTTAAGCCAGACACTAACACCTCGGCTCCGTTGCGTCTCAGCCACCATCCTAGAGCCAGAGCAGGGGAGAGGCGAGCTGGAACAAATCACTTTGGGAGGGGGGATTATCTATACTTTTGTTGTTAAAATGTTACGTCTCACACAAGTACAGTACTGTATGCTTTTTATATTTTTAGTAGTGTGTCACACAAACAGCAAATATTGTCAAAAAAGTAAGAAATCTTTGGGGGTGCTTTGATTCATGTTAGGGGTGCTGAAGCACCCCCAAAAATGGGCTAAAATCGCCCCTGATTTTTCACATTCCCAGTTTGCATACGTAGTCCTCAAACTACCCGTCGTGAAAATAGTGTACAACAGACTTGTTAAATGTAGTCTGATGTTAGCGGGCTCACAGCATGCTTCAGCTGCACGCAGTCTACTCAACAACGACGAAGACCTGCAACCGCGAAACTGTGTGCTCGTCACAGATTCCGCACACCGAAGTTCAGTTCTGCTACATATATGTAGCTGGAAACATTGACAGCACATGCTCAAGCACCACCTCTTCCGGGTGTCTCCCGGCCCTCTACCGCCTTAAACACGCCCACACAGATTAACTGCAATTTGATTGGAGCTTTGCGAGCGAAATCAGCATAGATCTAGCTGAACTAGACAGAAAGGATTCAGCGTTAACGTGTCTTTTACTGATATTTGATTACTAAGACCTTATTACATTGACTGGATAGAAGAAAAAACAAAACAAAAGCAAAAAAACATTATTTCTTTTCTTTTTTTTCTGCTTTTGGAATGTTCATATATATTTTTAATCATAAGAATTCAGCAGATATAGTATCGAGCACCTTGGATGGATGTTACAAAAACACTAGCGTTTCGTTTGATTTCAGCTGGTGTAGCAGCTGTGGTTATCTTGACTCCACAGTTTTCTTTCTTTTTTAAAATTATATTATTATATTAAATATATTGTATTTTAGACGTTATGTACAACTTGTAATTAACTGTATAATTACAAGTTGTTCATAACGTCCAACATACAATATATTTTCTGTTTTTTTTTACGTCATTCCCTTATAAACGAAAGAATAGATAGACAGCCTGAACACATAATGCTGAAGTCGTTAATATACCGGCTTGGGTGTGATGTCTTTACTATCTAAACTAGTTCTATAGCGGAAGCTGCAGTCAGAGGTCAATGCCCAGGAATAACCTGCCTGCGCATCATCACATCACCCCACTCTCTGCTGTTTAAGCATCTGATGGTGATGTGTGACCTCATCATGATGTGATGTTTTCATCATCACTCGAAAGAGAGATGTCTGGCAGATACAATTAATTTATCGATCTTTTTAATTCAACTTTTTTTCAGGATTACGTGTCGGTTTATCTCCACCGGTGAGTCGCTAGCATACCTGCAAGGGTTTATCTCTTATTACTTCGCGTCTGCACCCAGGTTTTCACCCACACTGCAGTACAGTACAACGGTAGCCAGTACAGTACAGTCCGTGCTATTGTATTAGTGCCGTTACTGTGGAATTATAATTGTATTAGCGCCTGCCGGTAAGCTAGCGTTATTAGCACCTGCGCCTCAGCTTATCTGGGGTTGCTGGGTAAAGAAGCTAGCCTTCACCGGACAGGTAACCTTAACTAGTCGACTCAGCCTTAGTTCTTGTTTTTTCCCCCCCTTAATTTTTCTTTTTCTAGAAGGCGGTTCTAAAGTTATCTCATTAAATAATGTTCATTGCGGAAAACAGAAATATGGGTCTATTAACAAGCTAAACACAGCTATCATTTCGTGATGTTCTCCTGGCTCACTTTTACAGCGTGCCTGTTTGCGGTGCTCGGCTTGTTTTTCTGGTCCCGCAAGCGCCTGCCGAGAGGTAAGGTGTGCCTTACCCGAGAGTCTACTCTTTCCAGTTGCTCTGACAGGTGGGTTTTTTTTAACAGTTGTGGCAACTGGACAGGTAGGGCGACAGCAACATAGCAGTTAAGTAACGTCTTATCGTTTCCGCACGTGGCTGTTAATTAACGTTTTTTCGAGGCTTCATGGTAAATTAACAAGGGGGAGAAGAAAGGGAATGTCAGTATTACTGTAGCAGATGCTAGGGTTTTGAGGAAAAACAGGAGTTTTAATCAAGCAATTGTCTTAATTGTTTTGCTTTTGTCCACTCTTTTAAATAGCAGATGCAAAGTGTACACAGGACAACTGATGATTACAGTGCAACTCTGGCAAATAGCAAATTTGATTATATGGCTGTCTGCCTAAATAATGCTTCATTGGTTCTGTCTATATGATTACTGGTGACAATATAGCACTCATTACATTCAGGTGTTATTGTTTAATATTTTGTTATTAATATTTTATTCTAAGCAACTGTTTTGGCAGATCATAAAGTGGCATTTTTTTCCAGAGTGTGCACAAAAATGATGCAATATCAATTGCACTATCAAGAAACTTAAGTTCATGTAACCCACTTTTGCAATAATGACAAACAGCCTTGTGTTCCAGCCAAAGCAATCTGTGTCACACTGTACTCTGTGGCTCCTTTATAACTGTTGCAACCACTGCTCTGCTTCTTGTCAGTGTTTGGAGCCTGCTCCTGTCGCCCGACCATGGCACAACAGGACGGTGCTGCCAAGAAGATTCCGGCTGTTGCGGAATTGCACTCTCGCTTCATTGTGGGATCTGTGTCAGAGGAGAACTCAGAGGATGAAAACCAAGGAAAGGTGGACATACAGCTGGACGAGAAGGAGACTCGCTCCTTGTCTCCATCTTCCGGGAGTTCGGACAGCACCTATGAAATGGGCTTCGACCACATCGATGGTCCTATGCACAATTTAAGGTTAGCCTGTAAACCTTCTTTGTCTGTCTGGCTTCTAAATGGTAATGCAACAGAAATATACATTTTATTCAAACATTTGTAAATGTCCTTCTAAAAGCTATATATAGCAAATGAGAGATAGGGATAGGGATCCTGCAACTTTCTGTGCTGTCTTTGTGAAACTAGCCAACATCTGTAGTCTAAAATAACACGCAGCATGCTCTGCTCAGATTATGTAGTTTTCCTTGGCTTCATAACCCTTTGAGCAACTTGTGAAAAATGCGGTTTTTCTAGTTGCACTCTACCTAAAGGTTCCTCTGTGCCCTCACTGTGTGAGATTGTCCCGGAGAGCAGTCATCTTGACTGCAGAATGTTTTTGTGGAAAAATGGTCAAATGATTTTTTACAGACAGGAATTCCCAAACTTTTGAAAGGAGCTATTCATGATAGTAGTTTTTAGCCTGTTTTTTTGGTGGGGGTGGGGTTGTTTTTTTTTCCTACTGGGCTCCCTGATCTCCTGTGTTTTGTTATTTAAAGTTTTCGTTTTAAATTTAAGTTAAAAAAAAAAACAGTGCGTGTGTGTTTTTATGTGTATTTGACCTCTAAGTATAATTACTTGCAAAAACACTTGGGACATTAATTATTATCATTTCTTGCATGCTGACTTTCTTTGTGCCATAATCAGCAAGTTTACTTTTATTTGTGGCTGGTTTTGATGTGATCAGTTTCAATGAGGGTAAACCGAAAGACACTGGGCGGCACTACCGTTGTCAGAACTGGAAATACTGGATGAACGGGGGTTATGCCGCCCCGTCTCCCCACTCCCCCCACACACACAATCTCTTCCACATCTGGACAGAGTTGATCCACGTCAAGATCTTTACAGTGATGCAACCATCCAGTGTCATGTCATATAGAAGCCAGCCAGCTAAACGGGCCCAGGCTCTGCCACACCCTGTCACGTTCCTCCACCCATAGTACCCAACTGTCCCAACTCTTCCTCTTTGGGTGGAGCTTTGATTTACAGGGCTCGGCAGTTTCTGTTGGAAGCACTTGCCCCAACATGTAAATGTGTTTGAACAAGAAATTCTACTCTTTTTAACAATTTCTTCCATTATTTTATTTCTAGGTTGTTGGTTTTTTGTTTGTTTTTTTCCTACTGTTGTCATAGATTTTTATTTATGGTTAGACATTCTGACCATTTCACCAACTTATCCAGAAGCTGTATAACCAAAGGGACATTATATTGATATTCTTTTTTTTTTTTTTTTTAAATTAAAACAGATCAAGCATGTCAGGCCTGCACCTGGTGAAACAAGGACGAGATCGCAGGCGTATTGACCTCCAGAGGGACTTCACTGTTGCTTCTCCTGCTGAATTTGTCACACGCTTTGGTGGTAACAGGGTCATTGAAAAGGTAAGAAATTCTGATTTAAAAAAAAAAAAAAAAAAACTCCAAAAAACCCCAACGTGTTATATAGGGACAATAATTCTATACAATAATCTAATTTATAAACTCTGCAATAATAACAAAAAACATTAAAAGATTCAAGTTCAAATTGTGATATTATGTCAGTCAAATGATTGACTGTATGTGCATTTCATAACTTTCCTGCTATATTGTGATTAGACTATGTTAACAATAGTAACTGATCTCCTTTTTCAGGTGCTCATTGCAAACAATGGCATTGCAGCAGTGAAATGCATGCGCTCCATCCGCCGCTGGGCCTATGAAATGTTTCGCAATGAAAGGGCAATCCGTTTTGTCGTCATGGTGACCCCAGAAGACCTGAAGGCCAATGCAGGTGAGCTAAAGTTTGGTTTCCCCAAACAGTAGACTCATTGTATGTGGTACCACCTTCAGCATATTTTGAGGCTTTTGAGACAGGTATATTGACTTCATGATTTCTACATACAACATTTCAACATGATTTCCCTAGGGATTAATAAGTATGTTGATTCTGATGATTCTAAAATTTTACATTCAAAAATTTTACATTTTAACTATCTTATAGCTAATATGACTGGCCTTTTTTGGTATTATTGAAAGGACTGAGAATAATTGTTCATGTTTTGTCATATTTTTTGTGCTTACAGAGTACATTAAGATGGCAGATCATTATGTGCCTGTACCCGGGGGGACTAATAACAACAACTATGCCAATGTTGAGCTCATTCTAGACATTGCTAAACGCATACCAGTTCAGGTATCACCAGAATATTTTTCAATAGTTTCTTCTGTAATTACCTTTCTTTCTTTTCTTTTTTTTCTTTTTTATTTATCATCTGGTGTTGTATTGTTTTATGTATTATAGGCAGTGTGGGCTGGATGGGGGCATGCCTCAGAAAACCCCAAACTCCCAGAGCTCCTTCAAAAGCATGGCATTGCTTTCATGGGTGAGGAGTGAGGGTCACTTTGTTGACCATCACCTGTTCTTCATTTGCCAGAGTAACGTAAGAGTAAAGTGTTAAAATTCCTCTCTCTTTTCTTAGGTCCACCAAGTCAGGCTATGTGGGCGCTTGGAGATAAGATTGCTTCCTCCATCGTGGCTCAGACAGCTGGAATTCCAACACTGCCCTGGAGCGGAACAGGTAGGTCATAGATTCTGGTGTCTGAATATTGTAGCTGGTCAACATTTCAGATGAAATAAAATATTAACAATGCACAGGGACACTGACAAGTTTCTATGCTGAGTACATTTTGGGATCTTCTTTTTCAGGTCTGACAGTGGACTGGCCAGAGAATAACCAAAAGAAGAAGGTCGTCAACATTCCTCACGACTTGTATGAGCTCGGCTGCGTCCAGGATGTAGAGCATGGCATGAAAGTAAGCAATTCACCTAATGCTGTATAATGGAAAATGAGTGTTGCATGCACTCTTTCTAACATCTCTTTCTATCACAAGGCTGCAGAGAAAATTGGCTACCCTATAATGGTGAAGGCCTCCGAAGGTGGTGGAGGAAAAGGGATCCGTAAAGTCAACTCTGCTGATGATTTCCCTAACCTGTTCAGACAGGTAAGTGAACATGTACAGCTTTTCCTGCTTTTTGGTACGGTGGTATTTTATGTATTCAACGATTTCAAGAATATATTTTATCTTTTCCAGGTCCAGGCAGAAGTCCCAGGATCGCCCATTTTTGTCATGCAGCTAGCCAAGCATGCCCGTCACTTGGAGGTTCAGATTTTGGCTGATCAGTATGGCAATGCCATTTCCCTGTTTGGCAGAGACTGTTCTGTGCAGCGGCGACACCAGAAAATTATAGAAGAGGCTCCTGCTACCATCGCCACTTCTGATGTGTTTGAGGATATGGAAAAGGTATTCCCCCTCTAGCATCACTTGCACTGATAAATGGAAATTGGTACCAACAAATTTCAAGCTTAAATTAACCTGAACTGTTCTCGCCTTTCAGTGTGCAGTAAAGCTGGCTAAGTTGGTGGGTTATGTAAGTGCTGGTACAGTTGAGTACCTCTACAGCCAGGATGGCAGCTTCTATTTCCTGGAGCTCAACCCTCGTCTACAGGTGGAACACCCGTGCACTGAGATGGTGGCTGATGTCAACTTGCCTGCTGCCCAGCTGCAGGTTGGTCTCACTTATTCAGTAGCTCACAGTTACATCATACACATTGTCCACTACAGGCCAGTCACAGACTCTAAAAATAAGCATGCTTCACCATGGTCGATGCTATGATGGGGCCTCTGGTTGCTATGGCAACCAACGGCAAATGCGCAATGTGCAGAAACACTGAAGCAGATCACGGAGTAGCAGTGATGGGTCACGTGGTCTGCTCTGCAGTGTTTAGGATTGTGTGTAAATAGGTCAGTGGCAATGAAGCTGAAGGACTGCGAGGGCATTGTAGGCAAGCTGATTGGGTGCTACTTGGGAGTGACACACTATCTGATTCAGTGCTCATTATCTTGGTTGGTTGAAAGATGGATTGATAAGATTCAAATAGGCACGACAAAGAAATCTTTTGGGGGTTCTTTATTAAAAAATGGGGGGAAAGTAATCATGGTCTAATATATGCTATTTAGTCAGACTGTTATCATTTTTCCATGCTAGTTTATGATCACCATGTGTTACGTTAATAATACTCTTTTTCTTTTCTTTTTTTTTTTTCCCTTTTTTTTTCTTTCTTTGTTAGATTGCTATGGGCATTCCTCTTCATCGGATCAAAGACATTAGAATGCTTTATGGCGTTCAGCCCTGGGGGGATTCTCCCATTGATTTTGAGGCTCTGTCAACTGCCCCTTCCCCACGGGGCCATGTCATTGCTGCTCGTATCACCAGTGAGAACCCAGATGAGGTAAGATTCACTCATTCCTGCTGTGCAAAAGTTTTCCAGCCAAAGGTTACCCAACGATTCATATCTGCTGACGTTATTGTGTGACTCATATTACTTTTCAGTCTTCTTCTTTTTTTTTTTTTAAAAACAACAAGTACTATTATCACTACTGTTTGAATGTCCACTTTGCATCACTGTGTTTATGCTGTGTGATTGCAGGGTTTCAAGCCAAGCTCTGGAACAGTGCAAGAGCTGAATTTCCGCAGCAATAAGAATGTATGGGGCTACTTCAGCGTTGCAGCGGCTGGAGGGCTGCATGAGTTTGCCGACTCCCAGTTTGGGCACTGCTTCTCATGGGGAGAGAATCGTGAAGAAGCCATCTCGTGAGTATACTCAGAATTAAGAAACATTGATCTTATTATTTTTACTCCATTTTATTATATACACTTACCAATATGGATTATTTCTGTACAATGTCTAAACAGAGGTTATGGCTTCTTTTAGAAACATGGTGGTTGCGCTTAAGGAGCTGTCTATCAGGGGTGACTTCAGGACAACAGTGGAATACCTCATTAAGCTGCTGGAGACAGAAAGCTTCCAGCACAATAGTATCGACACAGGCTGGCTGGACAGACTTATCTCAGAGAAGATGCAGGTATGTGGAGATTATGCAGCTGTTGCCAATGGATGTTCTTAACTGTAACGACAGGTTATTTAATGTTTGACCTATATGTTAGTGTCTGCACTGAAACCACAATAAAACCAAATGTTGGGATGATAGTCTCTTTGGTTTATCCTCCTGATATCCACAGCATATAATGCATGACTGTTTTTGTGTAAGTTGTAAAGTGTAATTTACATGCAGGCGGAGCGTCCTGATACCATGCTGGGAATTGTGAGCGGTGCACTGCATGTGGCAGATGTTAATCTCAGGAACAGTGTTTCCAACTTTTTGCACTCTCTGGAAAGGTAAAAATCTAATGCAAATAATATATGGTCAAATACAGTACTGCGCAAATTCTCTAGCCTCAATCCTTTATATATTGCTAGGAATGTGGGAAATGTGTGCAGTGTTTTTTTTTAAACATACATAGGAATGCAGTATATAAGGCAAAAATTATTCTAATGAGCTTGAAAGTGAATATTTGGCATCACTACCTTTAAGTCTTCAACACAGCCTGCCCACACTGAGGCAAGCTTTCTTTTCATTTCTTGAAGTAGTCTTCAGGAATAGTTCTCCAGACTGGTTCCATTCTCTGTCGAGATGATAGTCAATGACTAAAGGTGTACCCCTGTGTGCATTTTCTATCCACGTATGGTGTTATTGCTTTGACAGTGTCTTTGGGATCATCACAATGCCGAGACACTTTCTGATGAGGCTTTAGAGAACTGTAGAGGATCATTTGATGTTAAATATATATAATTGTTTTAGGCCCACCATTTGTCCAGTTTCTTCATTTTTTTTAAGGGCACACTGTATACTGTTGGTATTTTCCATAGATTTGGCTAAAGAAATGGGAACAGATGATTTGTTTTTGAGATGGGCTGCTAACAACAGAGATACAATTTGAACTTGTTTCTTTGCTAAACTGTTTCTTATGTGTAGAAGCATTACTAGTAAATGGCCTGCATTTGTATAGCGCTTTTCTAGTCCATAGGACCCCAAAGCGCTTTACACTACATTCAGTCATTCACCCATTCACACACACATTCACACACTGGCGATGGCAAGCTACATTGTAGCCACAGCTGCCCTGGGGCGCACTGACAGAGGCGAGGCTGCCGGACACAGGCGCCACCGGGCCCTCTGACCACCACCAGTAGGCAAACATGGGGTTAGTATCTTGCCCAAGGATATTTGGCATGCAGCCAGGATGCAGCCTGGGATTGAACCACCGACCTTCTGATTAGTGGCTGACCTGCTCTGCCACCTGAGCTACGGCCACCCCCGTAAATTCATTTTGGCCATTATTTAATATGTAAACAAACAAATGAGTTGTAATCTGTTGTAAGCCGCAGTAGAAACAATCATTTGAAAAAACAGCATTTTGAATAGATAACATGAGACACTCTGTACTCTCTGACCAGGGGGCAGGTGCTACCACCACACACGCTGCTCAACACTGTGGATGTGGAGTTGATCTATGAAGGTACTAAGTACGTTCTGACAGTGACTCGTCAGTCTCCCAATTCCTATGTGGTCATCATGAACAATTCTTCTGCTGAGGTGGATGTCCATCGGCTTAGTGATGGAGGTCTTTTGCTTTCATATGATGGAAGCAGCTACACTACGTACATGAAAGAAGAGGTGGACAGGTAAACAAAACCATTAACTGTATGAAAGAATTGTTACTATTGTAACTGTAAGTTTACCACATGACAACAATTAAAAAATAAATAAATAAATAAATAAATAAAGCAGAACATTATTGAGGAAAAAACGAACACATTGTAAAGTCGAGTCTTAATAGCTTACTGGGCTCGTCAGGCACTCTTTTTGGCTGCAGTGGTTATTTTTATATTTACATGCTTCCATCTCCCATTTCTGCTCGGTAGCACCTCGTACTTTTCGACTTTCCTTTTTCTCCCTCCCTCACGCTCATACAGTCTTAAAAGGCCATCCCTGTAACACTCTGGCGTCGTATTAAATAATTTTTTGTATAATAATTAAAAAAAAATGTTCACATCAATATGCGGCCCGCAAGCGGAGGTGACGTGGGCCGCAAATGGCCTGTGGGCCGCAAATGGCCTGTGGGCCGCAAATGGCCTGTGGGCCGCAAATGGCCTGTGGGCCGCAAATGGCCTGTGGGCCGCGAGTTTGAGACCCCTGATTTAAGATCTTCAGATAAAACATGACACTGAAATCTTCTAATTTCTGGTTTGTTAACACTGTTTTTGTTTTGTTTTTTTGTTGTCAGGTATCGCATCACAATTGGGAACAAGACGTGTGTTTTTGAGAAAGAAAATGATCCCTCGCTGCTGCGGTCTCCTTCAGCAGGAAAACTCATTCAGTACACTATTGAGGATGGCGGGCATGTGTTTGCTGGCCAGTGCTACGCTGAAATAGAGGTACATTAGTTTAATGCAGAGGTGTGGACTCGAGTCACATGACTTGGACTCGAGTCAGACTCGAGTCATTAATTTTATGACTTTAGACTTGACTTGAAAAAATGTTCTAAGACTTGTGACTTGACTTGGACTTTTACACCAATGACTTGGGACTTGAATTGGACTTGAACCGGTTTACTTGAAAAGACTTGATATTTTACCCCAAATATAAAATTTAACATGCATATTATATAGAGATTGAAAATGTGACGTCATTCACGGGTAGAACCGCAAAGGATTCTGGGAACTCGTGGCAAGCGGTACTAGCGCACGCAGGCTTTCAATTAAAATCAGTTATACATCGATAAAAAGAAACACAAAAATGTCAAGAAGCCGTTGTATTATTAACTGCAATAGCCGGTCGCATGACAGCCACGGGAAGCCGACGGGTAAAGAGATCGGTTGTTATCGGATTACGTCGTTGAAGAGAAATTGTTCAAGCCATGTTTCCGAAGTAACAAAGACGCGACTGGATTGCAGCCATTCAAAGATCAAATATAACGTCCCAGAACACTCCAGCTCACAGGTTAGTCTGCTCCAAGCATTTACACGAAGGTCAGTGTTTTTTAGTAGTTAATACGTCATTTTCATAACATAATTAGTGATATAGGTTACAAGCAAGTCTGGTGCTGAACAGAAATTGTCGCGCTATGCTCCTTTGTTTATTGTGCATAAATAGTGAATTGTCCTGACACAATATTGCGTTTCGCCTCTGTTATTATGGTACATTGACAAAAACATATACTTTTATTCACAGGATAAAACAGTTGTTTTGTATCACTAATTGCCCAGTACGATTACAGCATACAATATTATTGTCACTGCTACATTTCTGTAACGCGTACCAGAAATTATTTCCACTACTAATTAATTACCGTTGAGCTCAAAGGTCCTATTAATAAACGGTTAAGGAATGTGTATTTATGAAGACGATTTGTGAGACTGGTAAACTTATGATACGTACGATGGTCTTTCGTTCTACACGGTGCATTTCAAGGTCCTGTACCCATCCGTCGGTAAACTGTACCTGGGCTTGTTGCAGTGACCTGAAGTTACTAAACTTCACGAGTGTATGCACTCACTCCAAGAACCGTATAATTATAAATATGCATATAAATATGCTAAGATGAGATAGCTGACTTCATCTAACTAGCAAATGTTGTACAGGCTACGTTGGTGATACAGTTTTTTTTAATGTGTATGATATTTTTGTCATGCGATTTTAAAGCTGGTCCTACAACCGCATCCAAGAATAACATGCAGCTTATCTCAGAACTGTCGGTGAAAATTATTCTTGGAGCTAAGTTTAATTGAGCTGCATTTTAAAGAGGTGCAATTTTACAATTTGTGTATATTTTCTAAGTTCACTATTTTGTCATGTGTTGAGAAAAACACAGATTTAAAAATTACATGGTCTAATATTTACATTTAGCATATAACTGCAACATGCTTTTTTCGTTTTTTTTTTTTGTTTTGTTTTTTAAAGACTCGAAAGGACTTGAAATTCAAAGTTTCAGACTTGTGACTTGACTCGGACTTTTACACCAGTGACTTGAGACTCGACTCTGACTTGCCTGACATTACTTGAGACTTGACTTGAGACTTGAGGATAAAGACTTGAGACTTACTTGAGACTTTCAAAACAATGACTTGGTCCCACCTCTGGTTTAATGGTTAGTTGTGTGCAGTCCACTATAAAGATGGAATCTGTAAATATACATATGGTTATTTGCAAATAAACAGGTGATGAAGATGGTCATGACCCTCACTGCAGCAGAGTCTGGTTGTATTCACTATGTGAAGAGGGCTGGAGCAGCATTGGAGCCTGGCTGTGTCATTGCCAAGTTGCAACTGGATGACCCAAGCAGAGTGCAGCAGGTACATTATGTCTCATCATTCCACTTTATTGTTGTCACAGATGCAGTATTTGCTGTGCAGCAAGTAGGATTTTGTATAATGCAAAATGACGGTTAACGTAATATTTTTGTTTACATCAGGTTAAATTAGAGCATCGGTTTTAACTTTGATGTCATTTGCCCATAAAAAGTATCTTAGCAGGTATCTTGGTAACACTGAGTATTAGTTTAAATATGCATGTGTTGCGTTTAATGATTAATCGCTTTATGTTCAGATATATGAGGGGAACCAATGTGCAAGAAGAGACAGACAGACAATTAAATCTAACGGATGTTAAACTCCAGCACAAGCGTCTCAAACTAAGACGAATCGAATAGATACGTCACTGACACATATGCTTGCTTTCTACAAGCCATACCTGAATAACCCCCAGACATGAGAGCACGCACGCACGCACGCACGCACACACACACACACACACACATCCAGCCTATAAGCATTTATCTGCTCTACCATTGTATTATAATTACATATCATTATCTATGAGGAACCAAATGAACCAAAATGAGGTTGAGCTCACCATCATCATGAGTCTATATTGCACCCATATGGTGAAGCAAAGAGCAAAACAGCAGTTGAGTTCCCAAGAAATTGTAAAATTACCAAATTGAATAAATTAAAAAAATATAAAACTTAACACAACAATTAAGCAGAGAATAAACTAAGCAGTGGATTAAGAATTGCTTATTTCACACCATAACCTCTACCTCCTACTAGAACATACCATTGACACGCTGATGTATTTTAAAAAGCCAGTGACTTATTAGTAATCGGTATTTGTATTGTCTCACAGGCTGAGCTCTACACAGGGACCCTGCCTTCTATCCAGGCAGTAGCTTTGAGAGGAGAGAAGCTGCACAGAGTTTTCCATAACACACTGGGTCATCTTGTCCACATGATGAATGGCTATTGTCTACCTGAGCCTTTCTTCAGTGCTAAGGTAAGAATTCATGTACACCAGTGTGCACACCAGCATTACTTTGCTTAGTCTTGAACACACTTCTTGTGTCTCTCCTAGTTGAAAGAATGGGTGGAAAGGGTAATGAAAACCATGCGCGATCCTTCTTTACCACTGTTGGAGCTTCAAGACATCATGACGAGTGTTTCAGGTCGCATCCCCCCTGCTGTGGAGAAGGCCATCAAGAAGGAGATGGCTCAGTATGCCAGCAACATAACTTCTGTGCTTTGCCAGTTCCCCAGCCAGCAGGTGCATCACAGACACTTGCACATGAACCACATATTTCTTACTACACATACCTTATCAGCTTTTCAGACCTGAGCTCCTTATACAGTTACAGCCCACTTTCATGTGACCATTTTTTAAAAATGTATTTTGAAACCCAGTAGCTTCATGCAGAATGAAAGTGCCATATCTAGGTGCGGATGTGTGTGAGTGACAAATAGATTTGTGGTCCAGAATTTCATGTAGCTTTTAAATTTCTTTACATAGCCTGTAACACACACTTGTTAAGGAACGCGTTGTCAGTGCCAAAGGGATTAAATGCTTATCAGTCTCCACTGCTGGTGGGATTAAATGCTTGTTGTTTCTTCCTTTGTTTCCAGATTGCAAACATACTGGACAGCCATGCAGCTACTCTTAACAAGAAATCAGAGAGAGAAGTCTTCTTTATGAACACACAAAGCATTGTTCAGCTGGTGCAGAAGTGAGCAACATACTTTTTATCTAAATATCACCAAGTTTTAATCCTAGGGTTTAAAGTAAATGTTTTGTCTGTGTGCTTTATCTGCACAACAGCATACATTTTTCTTGTAAGACCAGAATGTTTTTGTGTCTAACAGGTACCGCAGCGGCATCAGAGGTCACATGAAGGCTGTCGTGATGGACTTGCTTAGACAATATCTAAAAGTAGAGATCCAGTTTCAGAATGGTGAGAAACAGTGACTTGACACTTTCTTGCTTGGATAGCAGAAACATTGCATTAGCATATTCTCACCACTTGATGGTGCTCTTAAACCTCAAGTTTCCTGTCCAGTTTTTACCAACGCTCTTATCTATCTGTCAACAGGACACTACGATAAGTGTGTCTTTGCACTGCGTGAGGAAAACAAGGGTGACATGGCCAATGTGCTCAATTATATCTTTTCCCATGCTCAAGTCACCAAGAAGAATCTACTTGTTACTATGCTGATTGTAAGTATCCATTCTTACTGATTTAGAAATCTCTATAAAAAAGTGATTTTCAGCAGTCGTGCCTTTTATCATATTCTTCTTCTTCCTCTTCTTCTCCATGCAGGACCAGCTCTGTGGCCGTGATCCAACACTAACTGATGAATTGATGGCCATTTTGACTGAACTCACCCAGCTCAGCAAGACAACCAATGCAAAGGTGGCGCTGCGTGCTCGGCAGGTCAGAATTGAACTCCTAATCTTGTTTGACATACTACAATGAAATAACAGAATTTAAAAAAACAAAACAAAACTGTACAGCAATGAAGAAGCACTATTCGGAAACTAAAAGAAGTTAGTTGAAAAAAAAAAAAAGATCTAAAAGCCTGATTGTTTAGCTGAAAAGCTTTTGAAGTGGCAGAGGCTGTGGATTGGCTCAGGTGATGCCTAATTGGTAGGACTGTGGATTTTTTAACCTCTGGCGTAGCCTGACATGCACTTTTAAGATAATTTGCAGCAACATGGGCCTTAAACTCTGTGATTGTTCTGTTGAGCAGTAATGTGCCCTGTAAGCACAGCATGAAACAAAATGTCATAGTTTGTAGTTGTATCTAGCTTGCTCATTTTAGTAATGCAATAGCTAATATTCATCCATACATCTCTGACAGTCTGTGTAGAGAGAAGTTTTTTCTCTTTGCTGTTTTATTAAAAGTAACTGTTTGTCAAAGTGCAACATCAAAGCTCAGAATCACCTGTGATCGCTGAGCAATACAGAAACACCAACACAACTATGAATGTAACTCACTACCAGACTTTATTTATTTAGTATTTTCCCACCAGGTGTCACTATATGCTCTCCATTTCTTTAAAAATAAATATAAATATAAAGTAAAACATGTGACACATTAGCACAACAAAGTGTGTAGCTGAAACAGTGTAAAGGTTGACACTGTCAGAAAATGTAAAGGAAAGCATAATTAAGTAGTGTTTGCTGTGCTATACCTGAAGAGCACATTTATCTTATTCTTCCAGGTGTTGATAGCTTCCCACCTTCCCTCTTATGAGCTACGACACAACCAGGTGGAGTCAATCTTTCTCTCTGCCATCGATATGTATGGGCACCAGTTCTGCATTGAGAACCTTCAGGTGAGCATTAAAGGGCAAGAGCAGTAGTTGTGGCTGTGCATGTGTTTCACAACAACAGACAAAATGTCCAAGGTGTATGATTATACTTTTTTTTTTCTTTGTTATTTTTCTTTCTCTAGAAACTGATCCTTTCAGAGACATCCATCTTTGACGTTCTCCCCAACTTCTTCTACCACAGTAATCAGGTAGTCAGGATGGCCGCCCTGGAGGTGAGAGGAATAAGAGTCTTGTTTATTAATCAGTTTCTCTGAATTTAAGTTGAACAAACTTTACAAGCACTTCACATATCTGACCAGCATTGCCTGTCTTCAATAATGTCAGGTGTATGTTCGGAGAGCATACATCGCCTACGAGCTCAACAGTGTTCAGCATCGACAACTGAAGGACAACACATGTATAGTAGAGTTTCAGTTCATGCTTCCCACTTCACATCCCAACAGGTATTGCTCATGAAAATAGCTGAAACGCGTACATGTGCATTACTATTCTGCTGTCCTGACCCCCTCCTTTCCCCAGGACGCTGTGCCATCAGTAATTCTACTCTTACTCTCATGTTGAATTTTTCATTAAAAGTTAGCTTTTATCAAAATTGCTTGCAAGGTGACAACACAACAATAATAATATTAGTCTGCGTGTTAGCAGCGGGACCTGCAATGATGTGCTGCAGTTGCTGCTTATGCCTGTGTTTCTAAATAGAGGAACCTGAATTTTTTCCTGTCTTACAGTTTTCTACAACATTTTATTTTTTTTTTTTTTTTTTTGACATCCCAACTCAAGGTGTAGCATGGCTGCATAAAATTTTCATGACCTATTATACTGTAACTGTTAAAAGATAAAGAATACTTATTATTAAGTACAGTGGATATAAATAGCATACTCACCCTAGTTAAAATGCCAAGCATCTGAGAAATAAAAATTAAAACCACAATAAATAATTCTCAACTTTTGGTACCTTTAATGTGACCTATAACCTGTACAATTCAATTGAAGAAACAAATCAGCATAATAAGCTGGTTGCATAAATGTGCACAACCTTTAATTCAGCTGTCTGCAAGAAACTTGAAGGGTTTCTTGTGACTGGTGGTAGAAATGTTTCGAGTTCTGTCCACTCCACTAACACTTAAGTTTCCAGCTAAAGAAAAGCAGCTCCAAAGCATGATACTGCCAACACCGTGCTTCACTTTAAGTACGGTCATGCATAGAGTGGTTTTAGCACCAAACGTTCTGTATGAAATTGTGCCAAAAAGTTCAACCTTCAGACCGTATCACATTTTCCCACAAGCTTTTAGGAGACTTGTGTATGGATGTTTTCTTTGTCAGAATAGGCTTCAGTCTTGCAACACTAGCCCATAGTCTAGACATGGTGTAAATGTCAGCAAAATCTTATTAGGACAGCTGAACTTTATGCGAGGTTAACGAGAGTCTCTAATTGATGACAACTGTGTACTCAAGAAAACTGAATGCCACGTTTAAATTAAAAGGTGCTCCAGTAATGTACTAGTTTTAGAGGTGTGCATTTTTATGCAGCCAGCTTATTTTTTTATGTTTACATTTTTTTCCCCATAACAGATTGGTTTGTTTTTCTCTTGAGTCGTACAAGTTATAGGTCACAATAAAGGTGGGAAGAATTTTTATAATGATTTATTGTTGTCTCATTATTTTTCCCCCAGCAGGGATGTGTGCACTTTTTATATCCACGGTCCCTGTTTTTTTTGGGTTTGTTTTTTTTTCCTACCTCTGTGTCACTGTTCGCCATTGTTTTTCCTGTAAATGTTGTCATGTGCAAAAAAAGAAGGTATTTTTCACCACTGAAAATACTTTTCTTGGTTTGTTAAAACAGGACTGAGCAATTAAGCAATTGAGAATCAAGAGTTTCAGGTCACGTGCTCTTGCTTAAGTTCTGAGGGGGAAAAAAAAAACATCTGGCACAAAAAAAGTCAGAAGTTATTGTACGTGCTCAGTATTTGAAAAGGTTTTTAACAGACACAGTACTGTGGCATTTCTGTTGCACTCACTCAGTTTCAGCAGCTGGGTTCAGTTCGTCCATGTGTGATTGCATGTTTTGTGTATTTTTTGTTTGTTTCAATGCATTTGCTTGTGGTTACTAAGTAGTGCTTATTTTTTTGAAATCCTTGCACTCATCCATCCGCATGCTTGTGTTTTACTGTGTATAAATTAACCTTCATTTTTGCATCATAATTTGTAACATACGGAACGGCATGAGAGTGTGATGTGATCCGCTCTTTGTTCAGAGTTAGTCTCTGAACAGGGTTTGTTTGTTTCTTTTTGGATCACGTGATGCATGTGTAGAGGAAGCAGTTAAGTAGCAAAATGTGTGTTTATTGTGAGAAAGAGTTATTTACCATAATTTTACCATTCATTACATCCATTTCTATATGCAGTGGATGCATACAAGATTCTGAAACTCCACCCATGAAATTTTCCAGTCCCCCCCCCCCCCCCCCTTTCCCAAACACACACACACATACAGAGCACCAAGGATACAAATGTAATTGGCTGCATTTACATCAGATGTGTTTCTCGTTAATCTTTTTATGTGTGAAGTCACAGAATAATTTGGTTGTTCCTGGTGCAAAAATATGTTAAGGGACACATATAATCACATGCACACATTGCTACACCTTAAATGTCTTCCTTCTGATGCCTGTCACTAACCACTTGATAATCAATGTTATTTGATTGCAGAGGGAACATCCCCACTCTAAACAGGTAAAACATTCTTTTAATTGCATCCACTACCGGTGACTAGCTAGCTGGATGAATAAAGCTGTAATTCAAGTTGAGATTAATTATCTAGTTGTTGGTTATAAAGCTGTTTTATTTGTTTAGATTTAGTAACTTTGGTCTAGTCTGGTTGATAATTGCAGAGTAATTTAATTTTACTGACATCTGCATGGCCTATGGCATTCAACCTTTCTGCCAAAAAATGTCTTTACTGATGGGTGCCTGTTTCTGTTGAAATGACTGCTCTGTATCTAACTGCTGTGTGTATGTGCTTCAGTATTGTGCAAGTTTAAGATAACTTATGTATGTCATATAGTTTAAGATGATCACATAAAATTTTGGTAGAAATCATATACTAGTACGCATCTCCAAAACTGAAACCTCTGACTGTCCTGCCAGGAAAATGTTTCCTTCAGTCCTGGAAAATCTTAAAGTCATGGACACTAAATTAGAGGAAACTAAACCCCAGGACCCTAAAGCACCAGAAAATGAATCACAGGATGATAATGCTGAGAAGAAAAATGCATCAGATTTGGATACTGTGGACAGGTTTGACACATAAGACCTCTCGAGTGCTTATACAAGCTGTAACTTTGGGGTTGCCTGCTTACAATCAAAGGACTAACACACATCAAAATGAAACTTGGATACTTGAGGGGTCATTCTGGTGGTTTTACGTGGTCTTGTTCACTGCAAAGCGGTGTTATCGTAACAGGATATATCTAAATGTCCTTGCCTACGGTATAGCTCTTTTCCTATGTTCATTCCTTGGTGGTGTTTTGTTACTACTTGTTTTTTTTGTTTGTTTTGTTTGTTTGTTTTTTAACATTCAAGCCTTTTTTAATATTTCTCTGTCTACACCTTAGGATGTCATTCTCATCCAACCTGAATCACTACGGCATGGTGCACATGGCCAGTGTGAGCGACGTTCTGCTTGACACGTCTTTTACACCACCCTGCCAGCGCATGGGAGCCATGGTGGCTTTCCGCAGCTTCCAGGAGTTCACCAAGTCAGTCCTTGTGTAAAAAAATTCTAAACTTGAGTGGTTTTTATTGGGAGGTAAAAGTATCACTAATCGTTTTTATATATTTTTTAAATATTTTATAGGAACATAACTGATATGTTGAGCTGCTTCTCTGACTCTCCTCCACAAAGTCCAACCTTCCCAGAAGGAGGCAATCCCGTGCTGTACGGTGAAGAGGACAACAAGGTGAAGAGGGCAGACTTGTACTAGTCACTAGCCTGTCACTGACCCCTATAACTAAGGATTCGAATTAGATGTGTATTTGCTTTGTTACCCAGAGTATCCAGGATGAGCCTATCCATATCCTGAATGTTGCTATAAAGACTGACAGCGACATTGATGATGATGGCCTGGCAGCTATGTTCCGGGAATTCACTCAGTCAAAGGTGGGAGACATCTACAGCAAAAACCTTGTATCTTGTCAGTTAAGAAAATGGATTAGAATATATGAGATGACTTAGCTTGTTCTTATCATCCTGACTATAAATATATATATTTATTTTAATTTTTTTTAACAAAATTTTTTTCTTATTCCAGAAATCTCTGCTGTTTGAACACGGCATCCGAAGGTTGACTTTCCTCGTGGCTCAAAAGGTGAGGCTTCTGATTTAAAACTTAAAACTCAGAAAACCATCTATCTTCACCATCAGCTGCCTTGCATGCCATCAGTTCGGCACTACTGAACCGCATGTACCAAAATATCAGAAATAAACTGAGCTTGCATCTGACCTTTTTGTTATCACTAATATTTTATTAATTTGTTATGTGTGGCAATACTGTAGTAATTGTGGTAATAATTTGCATTTGAAATTTAGCTGGTTTTCCTCTTTTGTCTCTGTATCTCCTTCTGCATGCCTTGCTTTTGCTGCATTTTTGATGACAGGATTTCAGGAAGCAAGTCAACTGTGAGGTGGACCAAAGGTTTCATGTAAGTAATGGAAGGCAGAAGAATTCTGTCGTCAACAGTGCATTTGTTTCACAACCAACACAAATTACATAGAAAGTGCAAAATATCACTGTAGATGTTGTTGGAAACGCCACCTACAGGAGGTAGATTAATGATAGTGTATTAACATGCATACACTAATTCTGTTTAGCACAGACTTTTTTAATCTTTGCCATCCTGCAGCTGCTTTTTTTTTTTTGTTTGTTTGTTTGTTTGTTTTTTTACAGCTCGGTTATACCAGCTTAAATAAATCACACAGATTGTGAGCTCATCATTTTTAGATGGAAATGCCCTATTAGTGATGGGACCACACATTTTAGCCACATAAGAGTTTGAACCCCCAGATGTAGCAGTTTTGTGATGTACCATTTGTCTTTCAGAGTTTGACATATTATCAAGAGACCAGTTGCATTTAGATGACAGGGATTTGAATAGAAAAGACAAAGTCATTGTCATAATAACAGATGTCCCTATCATTGTGGCCGCTACTGTTTTATGCATGCTCACTCTGAAAAGATTTTTCTTCAGTTCACTATATTGCAGTGGGTCATTTGCAATCAGTGTTAAATCATAGCTATGAAGGTTTACACTGTGTATACTTTTGCAGTCATCTGATTATTATGTAGCTTGTGGTGTGATGAGGGCGTCTCCAATCCATCTGGCATTATTTTGGCAAGTGGGAGACTTCATGTGATAACATCAGACAGGCCTACCAGGCATTATTCAGAGAATCACTGGATCTCTGAAAGGAGGACATGTTTTATGCATTAGAATGTAATGGGTGCTTATATGTTGAGCCCATTGCTATTATTATGTTAGCCCTCTGCTTTGGTGAATACATAGTGATTTCTTGATAGGTAAATTATCGCAGTAAAAGAACACAGGGCCCCCTGCGTGTCGATTAAGGTCCTAATTGTGACTGTTCCTTTCCATATAGCTATTTCAGCAAAGATCATAATGGCTTTTTTTGAGCTGCTGTAATTAGGCACAGTTGGTGAAAGTCTAATTAATTTGTCATTCTTAACACAGAATTGCTGTCTTTATAGAAAATGTAATCTGTTATGTACAACATTTTGATTAATTTATTTCTTTGTCTTATGATTATTTACACAGAGGGAATTTCCTAAATTTTTCACATTCCGTGCCAGGGACAAGGTAGGTGCTCACATAACACAAATCCAAATCATCACTGTCATATAAAATGTATTTTTGCTTAAATGTCAAGTTAATGTTGAGCCTATGGAGAAGGGACCTCTATTGGAAAGATGAATATACTGTGTATTTAATGCACATGTATGTCGGATTATTCCCATGACAATGAAACAGCCTGTTTAGGGAAAAAAAACAGACTGACCACCCGTTCCAAGCAGTGTTAACTTTCATTCAGTTGCAGTCAGTGATGGCTTTTCATTTCTGCTACTCCTGATAGTTTCACTACAATGACATGACTAAAACTCATTAAACTAATGAACTCTTTAATTATGTCCCCCATTTAAGAGAAATGACACCCATTAGCAGCTTTCTGAGATTGATATTGCCCATGACTTAATTTACTTAATACAGTGTGTGGCTCATGGGCGTCTTTTTACACTTAAACCAACTGAGCAATCGTGAAATTGCCAATTTAAACTGTGTCTGTTAATGTTAGAGGTGCTAGTTAAGAAAAAAACTGAGGTGCTCAGTAAAATATTGAAACAAACTTGTCTCTGCAGGACTGTGTTACTGTTTGTTATTGTATCCTGTCTGTGTCTCAATAGTTTGAGGAGGACCGGATCTATCGTCATTTAGAGCCTGCATTAGCATTCCAGCTGGAGCTCAACCGCATGCGGAATTTTGCTCTCACTGCCATTCCATGTGCCAATCACAAGATGCACCTGTATCTGGGTGCAGCCCGAGTGGAGGTGGGCACAGAAGTTACGGACTACCGTTTCTTTGTCCGTGCCATTATCCGCCACTCTGATCTGGTAACAAAGGTAAGATTACAAGCTTGGTTTTGGATGAGAAACTTTCTATTTTTTGCCTTTAATTTTTAGCCCCCAAATTCTGCCGTGTTCGATGCTGTTGAGATTTATTTTTTCCTCCTCTTTTATTAGGAGGCCTCCTTTGAATACCTTCACAATGAAGCAGAGCGCCTGCTGCTGGAAGCTATGGATGAACTGGAGGTGGCTTTCAACAACACAACTGTGCGAACTGACTGTAACCATATCTTCCTCAACTTTGTCCCTACAGTCATCATGGACCCATCAAAGGTCTGGGAAAATATTACCCACAAATATCTGATTGACAGAGTAAATTACTGCCACTGTGTTTGCTTCCTGCTAATCTTTTCCTGTGAACTTCAGATCGAGGAGTCTGTGCGCTCCATGGTGATGCGTTACGGCAGCCGTCTGTGGAAGCTTCGAGTCCTGCAGGCCGAGTTGAAGATTAACATCCGCTTGACTCCAACGGGGAAGCAAATTCCCATCCGCCTCTTCCTTACAAATGAATCTGGCTACTACCTGGATATCAGCCTCTACAAGGAGGTCACTGATGCCCGAACGGGACAGGTGGGGCCCAAAGACCGACAGGTGGGGCACTCATACATCATCCATCTCATCTCCTTATTGTCCATTCACTGGTAAAGGGCATCAGCTCCTTCCTGGAAACCTCAGCTTGTAGAGTACAATTTACCAGACTCTGTTGTAAATTTCGTAGTTGTATATATCATAATAGAAACTTCAAGTTTTTATTATTTGGAGTAGAGATCCAGTATGGTGTCTTGCCCATAGCCCATTGGACAGTTCTTTTAGCAATATCTTTTTTCTAAACTCAGGTAACTCAGGTAAGATATGCGAGATTCATCAATCCAGCCGTCCATTCATCTTTCAGTGGTCACGGCCATCCATTCAGTAGTAAGGCAGTGCTGAAGAGATGAAAGCTACATGAAGCAATGAAGGAAGATTTCTGTCATCTTCAACACATTTCATGTCTTATTTTTGTCTTTTTCCCATGTTTGCTCTGTGGTGGCTTTAATGGTTCCATAATATAAGAGATTCACAGTTTGTTTTTTATGTGAAGACTGTTATATGGTTACCAACAAAAGTGACAGCTCGAAGTGTTTTAGCTGTACTCATTTCATGCATTAAAATGTAATATTGTTGGGAGGATAAATAATGAAGTAATAACACATACTAAAGTTGCAACATAGTGAGAGCGCTACATGAGAGGAATTCTTTTGATGTCCAGTAACTATGAGAAGTGCTTTTAATCATTATCACATTTTTTTAGTTGTTTTTTTTTTTCCTGTCATGTGTTTTCATCTTGATTTCATCTTAATGCCAAGGTTGTTGAAGAGATCATTGTATCACTAAAGTGACCACTTCTGGCCTTTTTCCAGATTATGTTCCAAGCATATGGAGACAAGCAGGGCCCCTTGCATGGCATGCTCATCAATACACCATATGTTACCAAAGACCTGTTGCAGTCTAAACGCTTCCAAGCACAATCTCTGGGCACCACCTATGTCTATGACTTTCCAGAAATGTTCAGACAGGTACTGTACAAAAACGTGCCTATTATATTTAGCTTCTGCTTAGATGTACTAAATAATAACATATTAACATGCTGCCTATTTTATCCTATCTTCAGGCTCTGAAAAAGCTTTGGCATTCATGTCAGGCTTTTGCCGACTTACCTCAGTGTCCTCTTCCTTCTGAGCTGCTCACCTTCACAGAGCTGGTTCTTGATGCTCAAGGTCAGCTGGTACAGATGAATCGACTGCCAGGGGGCAACGAGGTCCGTGTTTAAGCTTGAAGCATGAAAACAAACCTTGAAAAGCAGGAATTTTTGACATTGACATTTTTTGACACACTCGCCTCTTATTTCAGAATGTACACATTTTCTTTTGCTCTGATGCAATAAAGATGGTAGTATAGATAAATAGATGACTGTATATATTATACTTCTATTTATTCCAAAGATGTAAAGCTGCGTTCTGATTCTGTCTTGATTCAACAAATATGGAGGATTTCACACTTTTTATTCCACCGTTGAGCAAACATGGTCAAAATCAGAAAAACAACTATGCAGCTAATGTGGATTATTTATTGTCTAATACTTACAGATATTCTGTATTTATTGGGTTAAAGTTTCCCTATTTGATCTCTCCAGATTGGCATGGTGGCATGGCGGATGACCCTGCGAACCCCAGAGTACCCAGCAGGACGTGAGATCATTGTCATAAGCAATGACATCACACACAAGATAGGCTCCTTTGGGCCCCAGGAGGACATGCTGTTCCTGCGAGCCTCAGAGATGGCTCGGGAAAGTGGCATCCCCCGACTCTATATTGCGGCCAACAGCGGTGCACGCATCGGTCTGGCAGAGGAAATCAGACATATGTTTCATGTGGCCTGGCAAGATCCAGCTGATCCTTACAAGGTCAGCCAGCAGAGTCTCAGAGACATTAGGCTATACTTAAACTTTAATTTAAATTTGTATAGAATTTTTTATTTTTATTTTAAGTGAAATCCACTAATCACTATTTGTAGATAATTATTGAGAATATCGTAATATTCCTAATACTTATTTTAGTAAGTTTTAGTTATTTAGTTTTCCATAATTCTAAAAGATTTTTTTGTTTCAGAATTGCTGTCATTATCTCAGTGTATTTGCATTTGAAGGTTTATTATTATGTATTAAGTTTTTTTTTTTTTTTTTACTAAAGGTGTAGTATATAAATTCTGAGACTAATCTGTTCTCTCAATTATTTTTTTTGTTCCTTTTTTTCTGTCTTTAAAAAAAAAGTTTCCTGACTTTTTGTCTGCTGCATCTTCATTTTTGTCAATTTTTAAGCTGTCAACATTATTTCAGTTGCATGTTTTGTTTTTCCTACAGGGTTTCAAGTATCTCTACCTCACACCTCAGGATTACAAGAAGGTTTCAGCTCTAAACTCAGTGCATTGCGAACATGTGGAGGATGAGGGTGAATCGAGGTAATTTTTTTTTTTTTAAGTATGCATTAATAGTTAATTTTGTATGTGAGGATATGATTTTATAAGCTTGTAATCTTCAAGCTTCAAACACAAGATGTGACAGATTGAGACAAAGGTAAGAGGGGGTCATCGCATCTGGATTTGAGTGAATGTATGTGTTGTCACGCAGGTACAAGATCACTGACATTATAGGTAAAGATGAGGGGCTGGGTGTGGAGAATCTGAGAGGGTCGGGAATGATTGCCGGAGAATCCTCTCTGGCTTACGAGGAGATCATCACGATGAATCTGGTAAGATTCAAGTGCGCACTTGTGTGAAAACACACATTCATATATGTAGTCTGCTGCTTTGCCTTGAGTTTGTATGTTCTGTTAAGAAGAAAGACTTGCTGTATGTAAAGACGTGAAAAGCTGGATGGTTGCTTATTGGAAATCTTGCACTCCTCTAGGTCACATGCCGAGCCATAGGTATTGGAGCCTATCTGGTGAGGCTTGGACAGAGGACCATACAAGTGGACAACTCCCACATCATCCTTACTGGAGCTGGAGCCCTCAATAAGGTGAAATGGGTCATTTTTGTGTAATTTAGATACAGTAGAATACAGTGATGGTGCCTTTCTGCTGTTGTAGAAGAAAAACATGATTGTGTTGTACACATGTGCACTCTGCTTCTCCTGTAATGGGGAGTGAACACCAAATGAGCTGTTTCTAAATTCATATAATTAATGCATCTGCGCTTTAATGAGCAAACCAATATATATTCATTAGTTGACTTTTAAATTTTTCAGCTAATATGGCAGGAAGGTCAAATGGGTCTTTTATGTTTTTCGTCCTTTTTTTGTTTGTTTGTTTGTTTTTTGAATTATGAAAAAAATGTAACAGAAAACGGTGTGTGCTTTGATGATTTTATTTTTATTTTTCGGTTTATATGGCTTGTTCCCCCCTCCCTGTTTGAGCAATTTTGAAGCTCATTCCCTCCACCTCGCTGTGTTCTACTGGGATTCCCTTTCCGATCCCAGCCACAGGCCTGGCTGCCACTCAAAGTGGAATAATTGAAAGCGCACCATGAAGTTGTATTTGCATAGAAATAGAGTGACATGCCAGAGGCTGCAGTGCAGGACACCCATATCATTTGTTTTTAATCAGAATGAAAAGTTTTGCTGATGCAGATTGTTTTTTGGTTTTTTTCTCGCCTGTATACACTTGATTAGTGTGTGTCTGTGTGCGTGTCTGCACGCATCGCTGCCTCCTTTTGGCTTGCTACCCATTGTCTGTCCTTGTCAGTGCATTAAGATGATTTCATTTCAAATTGGATGACAGTTCACAACATGACAAACCATGCAAATGGCCCAATGATGGTATATCTATTTGCTGGAAGCTCAATTGTTTTTAGATTGTCCCACTGTTTTGCTCCATTTGTAGGAGCAGCATCACAATAATGGTTACTGACAAATGTCCACAATATAGAGGTGATGAATAGCAACACATTTTTTTGTTTTTTATTTGGAGAAAATGATTTTAACCAGCAACACTGATTTAAGATTTTTTTTTTTTTTTTTTTTTTGGCCTGCTCATTTATCATGTGACTTCCTGGCTATTAACTGAAACTTAATAGAGAGCAGGAGGCTACCACCCAGAGATCATCATTTCATTAACTGCTGGAAAGAACTCCTATTTTCATGGGGAATGGATAGTAACTACTAGCACAAATACCCCAGCGAGCTGTTGCTACCACTTGGTGCCTCGTTTTCTTCCTTCCAATCATCTCCCTTCGTTCCTCCTCCTTTGTCTCCTCCTCTTCTCTCCGCAGTGGAATCTTAATGAATCTGGCGATGGCCAGAGGCACAGGGGTTTTGTGTATGTCAAGGTGACTGCAATGTTTCTTGGGGCAGCCAGCTTTCCTGACAGCTTTAGGAGAGTGCCCTAGATTTGTAGCCAGATACATAACCATTAATGGTAATAAAAAAAGTAAATGATGGCTGAAAAGGTGAGAGCTGAGGGTAGGGATTGAGCTCCTCTCTGATTTTTATAGAAGCATGTCAGGGCTCTGCCACCTGTTCTGAGATGCTTATGAAAATAGGGTGGGCTGGAAGTGAGATTTTATGGCTTCAGGTTGGCAAAGGAACAACATGAAGATAAAATAAGTTTGGTGGCTCTAAATGTATACAGATACATTGGTTTTTGTTGCACACCAGAAATGGATGTAAGCCAGTATAATGAATTAGCTTTTCTTGTTAAGAAAGGGACGTGTTAATTCATGCAATGTGTTAGGAAATCGGCTATGAAGAGAAGCAGGCGCTGTCCCCAAAAATGTGACTACTGTGAAAGAGGGGTATCGACAAGGCTGCCGTAACCTGGATACACAGACTAGAAACTTGTTTACAACACTTCCTGTTGTCAGCCAGTGTTGCGCAACAGTATTCTGACTTAGTTTGAAACTAGTTTTTAAAGGGTAAATCCACATTCTGTTCAATTAAGCGGGAAACTAATGCTTCAGGTTTTGAAACATTGCCTTCATTAGTTGCCTGATCTAAAATAAAATACCTTTGTCAAACATTTCCCCACAAATCCATACATTTGTCCTTTTCCTACATTAGGTGCTGGGCAGAGAAGTGTATACATCCAACAACCAACTCGGTGGAGTTCAGATCATGCACAACAATGGTGTCACTCACTGCACTGTTTGCGATGACTTTGAGGGAGTCTTCACTCTTTTGCAGTGGCTGTCCTACATGCCCAAGGTAACAGCTCGATGTTTAGAACGTATGTAAATATAATAATGTAATGTACAATTTCATTTAATAATGTGATATCATGATCATAATGAGTGATCTTTTCCTCAGTGTAAATCTAGCCCAGTGCCCATCCTCAATGCCAAGGATCCCATAGATCGACTGGTAGAGTTTGTACCTACCAAGGCTCCTTATGACCCTCGCTGGATGTTGGCAGGACGCCCCAGTCAGAGTGAGTGCCTAATGTGGACGTATTTAAATTTGATTATGAAAATGTTTGGACTAGCAAATCGATTCTCGAGTAATATTTGAAGAGTGTGTATTAAAAAAAAATGCAGACCTTCTATTCACTGTAGCTTCTTTGTTACTCTGTATTAAATGCCCAGTTTTATTTACTAGAAATCATCCTATTAATTATTAATGCTATTGATGTTATAATTCTGAACATAGTCAAAAAAAAGCTGTAGTGATTTGTTTAGCATCTAAGCTCTCAAATCTAAGCTTTGACTATAAAAATAATGTATACACTTCACTTTTCCCCTAATGATCATCAATATTGCTTCATCAGCAGTTGTTAAAAAGTCAAGCCACATTTTCTTTTGTGTTATTTAAAGTAAATATAAAGATTTATTATTTCAGCCTGATAGCCTAAGAGTTAAAGGTTGAAATAATTCATTACAAGAGAAAGGCTATTAAGAAACTAAGCAAGAAACAGTGAAGCCTAACACCATGCCGCCAAAGGCCAGATCAGCACCAAAATTGATGCAGTGTGTTTTACACTGCAGGTCAGGACTGAGCAGGTTCCACATCAGTGTAATTACTGCTTGGGATGGCAAAGAGATCGGGGAACCGTGTGGGAAGCCAGTCAACGTCTGGTAGTGATGAGTGGCCAAGCTTAATTGAATGGTAACCTCTTAGGCTGGGCATGTTTCTTGGGGTGTACAGGCAGAAAAAGAGCTGAGCAAGTCTGCTTATACAGTCATCTATCACGGGCGGTGCCAAGATGACAGATCCTGCGAATATACACGCTGAGTCTGCACACAGAAGAGAGCTAGGGATTTTAAAAATATCACGAGAAGAGAGAATGCTTTTTGGAAGTGGATCTGATTGTGTTGCATTTAGAATTTTCATTAATTAACTTCACTTTTTGCCTTTATTTACTCTGTGCATGTATTCTGCTCTCTCTCAATAAAGCTCCAAAGGGTTCCTGGCAGCTTGGCTTCTTCGACCATGGCTCTTTCATGGAGATCATGCAGCCGTGGGCTCAGAGTGTAGTGGTAGGCAGAGCCAGGTAAGTCCCAAATAAAACCAGGTTACATGTCACTAAACGTTATTGATATACAAAACAAAACAAAAAAATTGATTAGCTTTTAAAAATCATATCAAGGTATTTTGTAGATTTTAACAGTGGATGGCCTCTTTACAGACTCGGTGGGATACCGACTGGAGTTGTTGCTGTGGAAACCAGGTCAGTGGAACTGTCGATCCCAGCTGATCCAGCCAATTTAGACTCTGAGGCTAAGGTAAGGGTCACTGAGTGTGTATATATTCAAGAATGAACAGGCACACAACACATTCACAGACACCTTTGTACTGATACCGCTTCTTTCGTTTTTATTTTATATTTAGCTCATCCAACAGGCAGGACAGGTGTGGTTCCCAGATTCTGCTTTCAAAACTGCTCAGGCCATTAAGGACCTAAACCGGGAGGGCTTACCTCTCATTGTGTTTGCCAATTGGAGGGGCTTTTCTGGAGGGATGAAAGGTACTTCTGCCTCAGTCACCAACCAATTAGTGATTGAACCCCATCTTCATCTAATATGGTTTTATCCTCTTTAGATATGTACGACCAAGTGCTGAAATTCGGGGCCTACATTGTGGATGGGCTGAGAGAGTACAAGCAGCCAGTATTGGTTTATATCCCCCCGCAGGCTGAGCTGAGAGGAGGCTCCTGGGTCGTTATAGATCCCACCATCAACCCCCGGCACATGGAGATGTACGCCGACAAGGACAGCCGGTGAGCTTTGGAGAAAAGGAGGCAGATTTTTATTTTTTATTTTTTTTAATACCTTGTCTTTCCTCACTTAAATCCTTTCTGTTTCCAGAGGTGGTGTGTTGGAGCCTGAAGGGACAGTCGAGATCAAGTTTAGAAGGAAGGATCTGGTCAAGACCATGAGAAGAGTAGATCCAGTCTACATGGGCTTGGCTGAAAAATTGGGTAAGCCCCACACTTGAAATCTGAGTATTCCTCTTTAGGGCTATCTCTCTTCCTCCCTGTTTGGTCTTACCTTCATTTAAGGGAGAAGCAAAAGGTGTGAGCATTTATGCTTTCCCTGTCATTCTTGATTTTGTGTCATCTTTTTTGCATTCCCCTGGGAGATGTCGGTCACAACCTTCCCAGATTAATCACTAGCTCTACTGTCTCTCCCATGCAGACTATTGATTTTTTTTTTTCCCCTTTGGACCAATGCTGCAATTGCTTGGAGCTTTCGGCATAGTGATGGTTTACTGTGAGGGTTTTGGGAGCTCATCTGTCTGCTCTGAGAGAAGTGAGGGTTTGGGGGCGGTGCTAGAATAAAACACTATTAGCAGAAGTTGATTCCCAACTACATTCTCATAGAGAACCTGTGTTTATGTATAACATACCAAAGGCAAATACAGGACTACCATGCAACTGCCTGCATAAAAAAAAATATATAGGCTGATAGTACAGAGGTAAACAGAAAATACAGTTACATTATACGTGCTCAGAAATGTAGATAAGCACATGCACTTTTGATTGCTGATCCCTAAATTAAACTTTTTAGAATAATCCAGTGAAATATGCCTAATATGTTTCATGCTATTACTCTGAAACTTCCAACAGGAACCCCAGAGCTGAGCCCTCCTGATCGCAAAGAGCTTGAAACCAAACTTAAGGAGCGTGAGGAGTTTCTTTTGCCCATCTACCATCAGGTGGCTGTACAGTTTGCGGACCTCCATGACACCCCAGGTCGCATGCAAGAGAAGGGGGTCATCACGGTGAGAGCTAACACTATCACGTGTGCACATATGAAGGTGTAGTCTGTGAATAACCTGAAAAGCCCATAGGGGAGTATCAGTCTAGCTGCTGCTGCACCTGCCTAGTGAATAATGTTTGGTCTCAACAGGCTGCAAGATTCATCCTTATAATTATCTTCTGATGACCCTGGTCTATCACCTTAGCAACTACAGAGCAGCCTTAGGCAGACCCCATCTCATTCTGTGCCTTCACAGACCCATCTTTCACATACAAATACACACAGATACACACTTTGCTCACATGACCAGAGGGGTGTTTTACAGATGGATGGCAGTCGGGGTGTTTTTTTTTTTTCTCTTCCCCTCTTTCCTGCCCTACATGCTATATACAGGAGAGGATTATTACCTATTCTAAAGTATACTAGCACGGAAAAGGAGAACAGACATCCTCAGACCATCAGTTCACTGTAATGTGAAGAACAGCATGTGTTATTAACACACCAATCCGCTTTACAACAATTACATTTTAAATGTGTCGAATTAGATTTTATTTTATGAATGAAACCTATAAATTCATTGACATTTGTGTCAAAGCAGACAGTTTTTAAGCCAGGTAATACAGTGGTCTACTTAATTAGTGCTACCTGAGTGCCACACCTTTGGCTTCACTTGATACAGAATTCAATGCTCCACATTAAAATTGGCATTCAGCAGGATTAAAACGTAGCTCTTCATGATACCAGCTCTTTGTAACGCTAGATGCTTGTCTTTTGCCTCTTCAGGATATCCTAGAATGGCAGACATCCCGTCAGTTCTTCTACTGGCGTCTGCGGCGTCTGCTGCTGGAGGAAACCGTAAAGAGGAAGATCCAGGTGGCCAACAGCGAGCTGACAGATGGGCAGATCCAGGCGATGTTGCGCCGCTGGTTTGTGGAGGCCGAGGGGGCTGTAAAGGTAAAAAGTATTTTGTTGGCGTTTTTAGGTTTTGTTGTAAAATCGTTCAATATGTATTGGCTCTGAGTGAAAAGTATGATAATATGGAAGGATGTGGTGGTTCATAAATTTAAAAGTTTGACTTTAGAGAGCGACGGGATCGTGTAGAATTCATTCAAAATAAAAACTTTGAATATTTAAAATACTGGTAAATTCTAGTTATTTTGACAGTAGACTGAAACCAGAATTGTGGAATAACAAAATATCTGTCATGTAGTGAACCTTTTCATCATTTCCACACAACCACACAGGATTGTAGACATTTCTGCTTTTCAGTGCCTTTCATGTTAGATTTTTTTTTTTTTTTTTTGGTAATGTCTCATTGTGTATCGCTCTGTGAAAGTCATCATCTTTCCTTCCTTCCTTCTGTGCTTCCTTGCTTCTAAGGCTCAGAGCTCCAGCCGCTGGGGTGACAGGAGTCGGCTCAGTGTTTGAGATCTCTTAAGAAGTGGCCTTCTTGTTAGCTAATACATTACCCTAATCAGGACTGGCTGTCTTAAGCCACAATTAATCACAGCCCTGGCACGTGCAGATAGGAGAGCAACACGCTGTTTCTTAATTAAAAGCAAACAGATTAAAAATGATTAATAAGGGCGTTAAATGTTCTTGTGGACCTCAAGCAGGACTGTTCATAAAAAGGCAAGAGCCCATTAAACCCCCAAATCTTCACTAAGCCCTCCAGCCTGGCTTTGTTTGGGAACAGAAAATGCCAGCACTCATGAATACTAATTTTTCCATCAGGTCCAGTCAGCAAGACATCAGGCCCCCACTTTGTGCCTGTCCATCTTTTTTGTTGTTGTTGATGTTGATATTTATTTGTTGATTCATGATATTTTGCTAATTTTATCTTTTAATATGGTGTGTAACTTTTAATTGCTTTTACTTCCACTCATTGTTGCATCATGAAAAAAGTGGGATTTTCAGGCTTTATATATGCTTAAATGCTGCATACAATGATTCATTTTCTGTCCTTTAACGCTCTCTGTGTTCTGCAGGCCTATCTGTGGGATAACAATGAAGAAGTGGTGGCATGGCTGGAGAGGCAGCTAGCTGAAGAAGAGGGTGCAAGATCAGTCATTGACGAGAACATCAAGTACATCCGCAGAGACCACATCCTCAAGCAGATTCGCAGGTGATCATTCAAAGCTGTGCAACAGTGCAAACTGCTGCTGAGTGCTGGAATTAAATAGCTCATTTTCTCCTTTCTTAACCTTCATTCGCCCACCTGACAGGCTCATTTTCTTTTGTTTCCCTCTCTTTTTTTTTTCTCCCAGCCTTGTTCAAGCCAATCCAGAGGTTGCCATGGATTCTATTGTGCACATGACCCAGCACATCTCACCTACTCAGAGAGCAGAAGTGGTACGTATCCTGTCCACTATGGAGACATCAGCATCCTCCTAGTGGGGGCCTGTCTTTGCCCATGCTTGGCTTAAAGCCCAGCTTAGGCCATAGTCAGACCTAAACAGAGCCTGGTTCAACCTGATCTGGAGATTGAGGCTAGAGGAGCCAGCGTGATGACCGCTGGCAGCAGCCACGTTGTTAATGAACCGCTGGCAATGATTCTCAGTGATCAAGAGTTGACTGACATCATTTATAACATTTTGTAAATGGCAGTACACATGTGCTAGTGTTTAAGATGAATTCATGTGTTTTGTACTGAAGAGCAATTAAAAGAATGACAATGTAGAAATATCTAGTGAATTTAATTTAATAATACGTTTGGAGTTTACACAGATGACTCGAGAGGATGTCTATGCTTCCATGATAATCCATGCTTTTCAACTGGAGTGTTCCCAAGTATAAATTAAACACGCTGTTCTTAAAAAGACACCTAGGTTTGTGACATACGCTTGCTAAGATTTGCAAGCATTTTGATGACCAGCTCAACAGTGGCGACACATTGATAGAGGAGTTAGAAAGAAAGGTTTTTTTTTTACACTCCTAAGCATGGAGCACTTAGTTACTGAACAAAGACAGAATTGAACAGGGGAGCTCAGCAGGGAGCAGCAGAAAGGTCCCTTTTAAACCCCAACTATTGCACAGTTACCCTGCAGTGAGCAATGGGCAGCTCGCCTCACAACAAAACCACAGCTGTCCCCTTCACACAGTAAATGCTGCTTTAGAGGCACTTTAGTGCTTACTGTTCCCTTACATTGCAGCCAGAATCAAGCCTGCATTTGAAATGTTGCATCTAGCATACGTGCAAACATAAATGCACAAAGGGAAACAAACAGTAACGCACGGAGAGTTGACGAAAGCTTGAATACGAAATGGAGACGGAGTTTAAAACGTAAGCTTGCTCAGAAAGATCTTTTTTCCTCTTTCCTCAACAGCTGTTGAGTCTTAAGTTAAGCTTGTTCTAAATTTATGTTTTATTTGTTTGAGTTTCTGTTTTTTTTTTCTAAAGAGATGTATTTGAATTAACAATCAAATGGCCAAATCTTTTAAAAATGTCTGTGAAATGATAAAAGCTACTGTTCACATATACGTTACATTTTAACTGTAATCAACTGTTGCTGAAGTTTTTACGTCTGGTGTATGAAATGTTTTTTATTTTTACCATTTAAACCAGTCTTCTGAATCACATATTCGACTGTATTTGTGTTATGATAGAAAGACAACCTGTTGTTAGGAACTGAGTACATAATGCTAATAATAACAACGGCTAAAGGGCACTACATTGTTAAATTTAGACTTTTGGATCATTGTGTCATTATAATGCCCTGCTGAATACCAATGTTGGCAATGTGAAATGGCTTCATAGTTATTGCTGTGCCTTTTCTGTGTGTGTGTGTGTGTGTGTGTGTGTGTGTGTGTGTGTGTGTGTGTGTGTGTGTGTGTGTGTGTGTTGACACCTGTACTGACAAGCTTCCCAGCTGCTTTCTAAGTAACTGGATGTTTCCTAATTGAAGACGGAAAATAATCTCCACTGATGACGATGTGCTCTAAATGTAACTTCAACTTTAAATAAAGCTTACCCAACTTAGTTTAAAGTTTTTTGATTTATTTTTTTTAACAAATGTCTTGTTTTCAAGAATTTATGCTAATTTAATTTGTCAATTATTTTTCTGTATCGATGATTCCGGCGACTGATAATCACATCACTGGAAGCCTCGTTAATTCCAGTAGTCAGAACAAAGTCTGTGACTCTGGAGAGACATTTTCTGATTATTTGAAAATGATAGTCTTCCCATTCCTCAATCCACAGATGATTAAAGTGCCATTTTTCTCTCTGGCTTTTAAACTTCAACAGTATTAAGGAGGATGAAGCAGATCAAACAAATATTGATGGGTTTTAGCTCATCCTCCCCTTTTTTCTTCTTTTTTTTTATTCCGGCTCTTTCTTTCATATCATCCCCTTGGCTCTGTCAACTCTATTACCATGTTACCAACAAATATGTAAGACAAATTGAGTTGCATGCACCCAATACCCACCACAATTATAGACGGCCCAATAAAAGAAATGATTCATTTGGTAGTATAATTGGAAATGTGCCTTGCTTGGTCTTGCTGGTCTCCCAGAGGGTTCTTGCTCATTTGTAGTGGCATGCTAGGCCGATTAATTCTGCTTTTAATCACTGACAAACTGCGAAATCAGGTTCCTCGTCAGCCACTGGAGGGAAGAGGATCAGTAGGTGAAACTGACAGAAACTTGTAATGATCTTTCTCTAGTTAAGGATGCAAACCGGATCTGCTGATATATAGTTATAAGCTTTGTTGGAAATAAATAAATAAAGAAGATTACTTTAAATGTTACTACAGTTGAATTAAATATTCATCTTTACCCAAATGACAAGACCCAGTTACTTCTGGTGTCACGCAAAAAAAGTGACAAAAACAGGAGGGGGCAGAAAGAAATATTAGTGAAAGAAAGGGGGAAAAATTCACATCTGTGATGAGACTGAAAAAGAGGCATTACGATGAGAAGACTCAATCATGCATCGGAGACAACCATAATTCCACATTCACGCGTCACAATGACTTGACAGCACTTGAGAGACAATGCCTGTGACCCAGTTGCAGGATTCCAATTAGCAGGGTGTATGCAACAGTTGAGATGAAAAGAGAACAGGGTCTTTACAGAGCCCCAGGGCTGTCTGATTACTGCCTGAAAACAAGAGTCTTTTGGCCATGACAAAGAGTAGACAGACACAGAGGGAGTGCCAGGTCCCAGCTGTTCTCCCCTTTTTTCCAGGCAGAGGATTTTTGAAGAGCTCATCTCTGCGTCCCTCCCTGTCTTTTTACATTTCAGACATACTGCAAATTTATAACAGGCCAGGGCACTACAATGCTATCAATTTTATGAGTATGTGGTCATTTTTTAATTAATTTTTCCCCTACGGTATTGAAATAAATGTTGGCTTCAAACCTGTTTCTCTTATATACTGAAGGCACACTGAGGAAAATATTTTTTTTCAATAACTGACAAAAAAAACAAAAAAAAATTTCACGTTGCATCATGTGCAATTTTAAAAAGTGTGTTATCATACAATGCTGTTGGAAAGACACTGCACACCATGGGGTGCAGTTTTAAGAAGCTGGACAAGTGGAGGAGAAAAGAAGGAACAGGCCTAAGATAAAAGTCGTGATATGATGAAAAAAGATCCAGAAATGTCCTGACACAAGATCTGAGAGATGCATCTGGCCCTTCAGCTGATCCATCTACTGCTCTGTGAAGCCTCAATTGGAAATAATCTCAGTTGAAGGGTAGCAATCAAGAAGCCATTCTTGGAGAAGGAAGAAAGGCTGGACACAACTGGACTGAAAATCAGTGGCAACAAATCTTATTGAGTGATTAAAGTTTTTGTTTTAGTTAAAAATGTCACTAAGTCTAAAAGTGTTCAGGAGAGCGGTCCAGCAGTGAGTGTCTACAGCCATTTATAAAACAGTCAGCGGTGTTGAGGATTTTGTCAAAACTTAAGGTATGATCGTGGCTCAAGAGTTGGGAGTTCGCCTTGTAATCGGAAGGTTGCCGGTTCGAGCCCCGGCTTGGACAGTCTCGGTTGTTGTGTCCTTGGGCAAGACACTTCACCCGTTGCCTACTGGTGGTGGTAAGAGGGCCCGGTGGCGCCAGTGTCTGGCAGCCTCGCCTCTGTCAGTGCGCCCCAGGGCAGCTGTGGCTACAATGTAGCTTGCCATCACCAGTGTGTGAATGGGTGGATGACTGGATATGTAAAGCACTTTGGGGTCCTTAGGGACTAGTAAAGCGCTATATAAATACAGGCCATTTACCATTTATTTTGAAATCATTAAAGTACCGTCACATTTTATCCACGATGATGCAATACAAAATTGATTGGCAGCTGCTTCATTTTATGCATGTCAATGATCCCAAGCACACTGCTAATGCAGTAAGCATACCTGGATACTTTTACATCCCTGCCAGTGAAAACACTCAGAATATACTTTGCTACTTATTGTAGAGCCTACCTTACAATATAAAGCACTTTGAGGCAACTGTTGTTGTGATTTGGAGCTGTATAAATAAAATTGAATTGATTTGAATTGAATTGAGCTTTGCAAAAGCACACAATGGAGCACTATGAGCATCACCAAATATTGACTTTCAGTCTCTTTTTGCACTTATACTGTATTTCCATTTATGCTTGTTGTTTCATATCACACATATTTCCCATGTTTCTAATAAACTATAAAGAAATGAGAGGTGGCTCCAAACTTTGCACAGTGCTATATATTGTGAATAATGCATATGAGAATATAAATGCAGTCTTGAAACTTCCAGTGAAGCTGAACCTATATCAGAAAGTAAAACATTGTTGTCACTCTGGTGGCTTTGTTTGAATTTAGTTTCATGATAGTGAGATTAGAACGATAGTGATATTTCCCCATGCATCCCAGGTTTTGTGGTTTGTAATCTTTGATAGTGTCTCAACGCAAACTCAGTTCCTGAAATGCAAATCCACGTATAGATCAATACTTAAATAAATGATTTAGAGCATCTTAAATGCAGGGTATACAGAGGTTGTGAACCTCTTTTGAGGGCAGGAAAGCAGCACTTCAGCCCTCTGCAGGAGTAAAAGCTTGCAACACTCTGTGATTGTCACTTCATAGTGCTGCCATTTCCTCTGTACCCAAGCCTGGTAAAGACTGAAGTGAACTTTGGCACACATCAGCAGCAATTTTTTAAAATCTTGATTGCACCAAAATTACACAAAGATCAAATAGCAAAAAGTCGTCCTTACATTTTGTATACAAAATGTGAAATTATTACAGCGCATGGTTGGGGAGTGTGATTGCGACTCGTCCTGAAAATGCTGCTCACACACTTAATATTTCACACACATACTATAACAAGGAAAACATGGCTTAATCAATATGAACCGTAACATGGAAGAAGCTTCATATAGCTGTGCATTGCAGGCCAGGTAAAGTTGTCCATTGTACTGTGCCTCCCTCCCCTCTCCTCTGCTCCTTTATCCCAGCATTAACATTCATGGAACCACTGGAGTGTTTCGGGCTTCGTACGTTGAGCCAACTACAATATGTACATGGCTGAGGAGGAGGGGAGAGGAAGGTTGGAGCCCCTGGAATACGATCTGTGGAAAATGGGGAGGGGCAAAGGAGGTCGATGGTAAAGGTTCCCCAGTATGAGATTGTGGAAAGGTCAGCAGCCGAGGTCCAGCACCTTTGGCCATACATCACAATTATCACTGTAGGTCATCAACTGGTATAGAAAATATGGAAGCAGCGATAGATCCTCACAGTATATTGGACGTGTTGGTAAGGGTGGGACGGGAAAAAGATGCTATCTACTGTTACCGTGTCTCTCAGCAAATGCTACTACAAACATAATTGTCTGAGCCATTCTGACTACAGGGCTCTGTAGTCTACTCAGCCTGTTGGTCGGTCGCTTTGAGCTATAGACTGAAATCTAACCAGCTTTTAGGTTGATTGCAGTTGAATTTGTACAGATATTCAGATTCTCCAGGTGATGAATTAGTCACACATTGTTGGATGCCCAGCTTCTCTTTTAGATGCACGGTGTATTTGAATTTTTGGAAAGTCGAACATCTGTACAGTTATTCCACAGACCGCCATCTGCTACAGACTTTTAAAGACTTAGAAGAATTAGTCACTAAAGTTGATCGAGTCTTTGCAGCCAGGACACCACAATTACTAAATTCCACACATTTTTATCATTTGGCTTTGTATAACTGCTAATGCCTTTATCACATTTTTTTCTTTCACTTTTAAGGCAGTTTTTCCTTCTTTTTTTCTGTTTATAATTTATTTTGTGTTATTATGATTTTTAAGTTTAACTTTTCATATTTGTTGCTTTTATTATTCTTTGAATCTTTGTTTTGAAGAAGCTTTAAATAAATGCAAAAGTAAAAAGTTTTCTCCTTTCACACCATTTAGCACAAGACTGACAATATTGCTTGCTTATATGTTGCTTTTTATTCCGTGTACAGTGACCTTGAGTGTTTTGAAAGGCGCTTTCAAATAAAATGTATTATTATTATTAATGCTTCCATAGAATACACTGTAATACGAAATAAAGCTCTTTTTATTTTTTACTTTCCTGTGGGTTTTTTTGCCAACAAGCTATCAAATGAAAGGAAAACTGAACAACAATGAAAAAAATAAAATAAAATAAAAATAAAAAAATAAAATAAAGTAGAAACTCTGAACCAAAATAAGTATGCACAACTATAGCTAATTCTCACTATAAAAGGTACACCACACAGATAGCCTAATATAAGTAAATACATTTTAAAAAGTATAAATTACTCAATTACAGATTTACATTTAATGTAATTTAATTACATTTAATGAAATACTTATAGAACTATGTGTACTGTAGGTTCCTTGTGACTTAGTCACCTCATCTTATTACTATGGGAATGTGTACTTATTGTTGCTAATTTGACGTTATGAAGTTTAGTACAAGATGCACCATCAAAGAATCTGAAAGCCCGTCAAGCCAGAACTGAAGATGCATTAATTAATATGTTCAAGTAAAGACAGCCTG